GAGAGAGAGAGAGAGAGAGAGAGAGGAACTTTAGCCCTCTGCCCTCCGCCTTCTCCCTCTGCCCTCTGCACTCTTGGCTATTTAAGGCCCTGCCCGGCGTGCTTCTTCTCATTATTTCGTCGTGGTTCCTTTTTCGGCGGCTCGCGCCGGCGGCCTTCGGCCGCGCGTCTCTGGTGGCAAGACACTAGCGCAACTTCTACACTTCAAGGAACAAACACACATCACGCAAGCCGGGAGACCAGGCCCTACGGAAGGCAACATGCAAATCTACACTCGGCGACGCGCTACTGCGTATACGGCTCCGCCCCCTCCATCTCCAGCATCGAGCGCATGCACGCCGACATTGCAAGAAGGAGATGCGCCGACGACTGAAGCGTGCCCACGGGGGTACCAACCCGAGCAGCCTCTACAAGATCCCCCATGTGGCGGGGAAGGTACGCGCTAAGGGCGCTACCCCGGCGGGCGCTTCCGACACGGGTGCCAACGGCGACTCGAGCGATTCTGCCAAAGACACGCAGGATCCTCGGGATCCTGGACCGTAACTGCTCGGAAAGTTCCGCGTGGCCGCACACACCGCCAGCTGCAAGTTCGCCACCACCTCGCACGCCTCCGCCACATTCAGAATCCTGCACATGGTCAGCATGGAATCTCTCCCCATGTGACTGGGGAGAAGTGCAGTCGGCGCTTCACGAGGGAACTCCGTCTGCCAGCCAGGAATCCGGCCACCAGAGAGGCGCTGTGCAGCGTAGCCCGGAACCTGACGAGGGGTGCGGAACTGAGGCCGCCCCTCCCGCGCGGGCAGATACTCGCGCAACGTCGGCGCGCGCAGAGGGGCCATCTGGCCAGGGCCCGCGGCGATGGGAGGACCGTTGGTCACCTCGATGTGTACATGAGTCGGCTCGCCACTCGCCCGCGCCTGGCGCACGACCTCCGCGAACGCACTCGTGGCACGATCCAGGGCGGGATCCTGCCCGCGAGTGTTTCCGCCACGCCCACCACCGTTCCGCCGGCCCCGCCGGCCTCCAGATCCAGCCGAATGCGGACGCGGAGGGGATTGCTCGCGACGACCCGTGTCCCACCGACGCCCAGGCGACCCCCTCCCCCGCGTCGCCGGTGATCGCCGCGGAGAGCGTTGCGCGGGGGATCGCGCTCGGGGTGAGCGCGGGCCAGCCCGAGGAGATGGACGGCGTGGAGAACGAGGACGCGCAGGGGACCGCTGACCGCCCTCCCTGTGCTGACGAGGGTCGTGTTGCTCAGGAGAAGGCCGGCGAGGAGAGGGCTGCCGAGGAGCCTGGCGCGGAGGCGAGCGCCCGCGCTCCTGCCGCGGCCGTCCGTCTGGGCGGTTCGACGCAACACGTGCAGGGGCCCACGAATACTCTGGCGAGGTGGGACGCGCAGCAGGCTGATGGGGAAGAGTCACCACCCGCTCGAAGCGGGGGACAGGCTCGCTTGCGGAGGGGTGCGCGAGAAGGCGCTGACGAGGCCAGGCTGGTGCAGGCTCCGGCAGCGCGCTCTCCGCGGAACCCTCCAGCTCTGGATCCCGACGCGCGGATGGGTCCATCACCCCTGATCGCACGGCCGCCGACGCCAGCGCGCTGACCAACAGAAGACACGGCGGATGGGGCGCGCCAGACAGGGCACGCGGGAGCTGCGGGCCGAAGAGGAACGCGGGGAATACGCGTGGGACGCGGCAACAACCGCCGCGGCCGCCGTGGGAACGGGAGAGGCCGAAGAAGCGGAGGAACAAGAGGCTCGACTCGGCGACGCACCGGCGCAAGCAGATACGCGATAGCTGCAGATAGGCTGATGCGTGAAGACACGGAAGGCGGGGAAGAGGCGCCCAGCGAGGAGGCTGAGGACGATGACGAGTCTGAGGAAAGCGAAGGGGGTGACCCTGCTTTTAACCCAGAAAGAGAGGGGATATTAGAAGCAGAGACTGGGGAGGACGAGGAAGAGTTGGAATTGCTGCATCGGGGAGCAGAGTTTCCAGACCAGCAGACCAGAGGTGGACCTGCTAACCGAGCCTCAGGTCGAAATCGAACCGCGGGGGGAAATCAAGCGAGGGGGGGAACTCGAGCCGCGACAGAAGCCAGAATTGACTCTGCAACAGCCAATGAAAATTCTGCAGCCCCGAATCCAACCCCCCCGATGCTCAAACCTGACGACCTGGCGAAAAATTCTGAGCTGTTCGATCAGGTGGCGGACTGGGACCTTGACCCGCTGCGCGACAGTCGCCAACCTCCTCTCGCTCGCCACCCGCCCAAAGACCTTCGCGACTCCTTCGCGATCTGCTTGTTGACACCACTGCTCCACCTGGCGGCCAATCCTGAATCCCCGCCAGGGTGGAAACTATTGACCTTCCTCCCGCGCATACTCCTCCGCACCTCGACAGCCCGTAAACCTGACTGGAGCGCGATGATGAATCGGCTCCAGCGATTTCGCCAAGGGCTCTGGGCGGGTCTTTACGAAGAGGCAGTCCAGGTGATTTCCCTGCCACCGCAACCTCGCCACGCTCCTGACACAACGGGGATACTGGCAAGGGCGGAAGGACTGGCAAAACGGGGTAACCTATCAAAATCACTCCAATCCCTCCAGGCCACTCCAGTGTCTCCCGCCTCACCTGAAGTATTGGAAGCCCTCGCGGCGAGACACCCATCTGCCAGCCAACTGCTCCCTGACTGGCTCCACAGCGCCACGGCAGGAACACCACCTACTATCGAAGCCCGCGACTTTCGGCGCCTCCTCGCCAAGCTCCCCAACGGAGTCGGAGCCGGCCCCTCAGGAACCACATTCGAGCACCTCCGCGACGCAGCCCTAGGGAACGCCGAAGTACTCACCCACCTCCTCGCCCTCTCCAACACTGCTCTAGCAGGAAAACTCCCCAAAATAGCCAGGGAACTACTCACGGCCTCCCGCCTGTTAGCCTTTACGAAACCCCAGGGAGGGACGCGGCCGATTGCGGTGGGGGAGTGCCTCCTCCGGATTATAGCAAAGGCCGCTCTGTTCCTGACCGCGCCGGTAGCACGTTCTCACTTTGCTCCCCTTCAATTCGGAGTAGCAGTAGCAGGGGGGATAGAAGCGGCCATCCACATCGCTCGCACGTACCTGGAAGAACACCCCGCGGCTGTGGCCCTGCAGATTGACCTCGCGAACGCATTCAAGGCGGTCGAGAGGAGGGCGGTGTTCGAAGGACTGAATAACGAGGCGCTCAAGGAACTGATCCCCCTCGTCCGCCTTTCCTATGGAGCTCCCTCCTCGCTCTACCTCGACCACGACTTCCGCGCTGCCCCGCTGCAGAGCGCCAGAGGTGTCCGCCAAGGGGACCCGCTCGGCCCCCTCTTGTTCGCGGCGAGCATCCACCCGTGCCTCGTTGACACGGGGGCCATGCACCCCCAGGTGGTCCTGTTGGCGTACGCCGATGATATCACGCTGCTCGGCGACGCCACGGCCTGCGCAGCGGCTTTCGAACACCTCACATCTGCATTGGCCGCCCTCGGCCTGGTGCACAACCCGGCCAAGTGCACGGCGTGGTCCGCAGCTGCAATCGACCCCTCTGCTGTTCCCCCCGGCATCTCTATCGCGGAGGAGGGATTGCAGATTCTCGGCAGCCCCATAGGCTCTCCCCGGGGCTGCGCAGGCGCAGTGAGAGAGAGACTGGCAGCAGCAGCAGCGCCTCTCCCCCTGCTGGCCCAGATGGACCCCCAGCTCAGCCTCCTCCTCCTCACCCGCTGCGTCAGCCGCAGAGCATCTTTCCTGGCCAGGACCACCCCCCTAGAGGCCCTCCCCAAAGCTGAATGGTCTGCTTGGGGGGAACAGCTTCTACACACCTTCCTGGATTCAGCTCACATCATGAGGCCAAGGAGCGCCAGGGAGAGACGGAGGATTTGGCGGCAGGCAGCCCTGCCTGTGACTTTGGGAGGGCTGGGCATCACCGACCCCGCCGTTGAAGGCAGCTACGCCTACCTCGCCTCAGTGATCAGCACCGCCCACCTCCTGCACTCCCTGGAGGGCTCGTTGCACCCTGCTGCCGCCGCGCTCCTCCCCCTACTGGACCCGACCCACGGCTCTCCGCACGCGCTACCTGCACGCCTCGCTGCGGCCGAGGCAGCTCTTCCCCCTGAGGCTCTGGAGGCGCTCCAGGCCGGGAAGGCGGACCCCAAGGGACTGAAGCTGCAGCAGAGCCTAGCGCTGGCGGTTCACTCCCGCCGCTTCCTGAGTGTCATGCGCAAGGCAAGGCGGATGCGCCCCAACCCCCTGTCTGGCCACGCGCAACGGATGCAGTCGGTGCTAGGCCCAGGCGCGGGGGACTGGCTGCTGGCGATACCGCTCACCCCCTCGCTCCGGATGGGCCCATCCCAGTTCTCAAGTGCAGCGGCCTTCCGCCTAGGCCTCCCCCTCCCCGTGCCTAGACGCTGTGACTGCCGCTACCGCACCACCTTCCCCGACGACCGCCTCCCCAACCACCTCATGCGCTGCGAGAAGGGAAAAGGGAGGACCGCAACCCATCACGCTCTGCGGGATGAGATAGCGAACATTGGGGCTGAGGCGGGGTTTACGGTTCACGTCTACTCTCTGGTTGAAAATCTAAAGGCGGATGTCACCATCCGCCATCCCCTGACCGGAGAAGTTTGGATGTGCGACGTGACCGTGACGGACCCGGTGTCATACCAGGACGAGAACTGCAACCGTGCCCCTGGATGGGCGGCTAGGGCGGCTGCAGCAAAAAAAGAGGAGAAGTACGCTCGGCGGAACGCATGGGTGGGGTTCCACGCGCTTGCAGTGGAAACTTACGGCTACCCCTCGCCAGGGGTGATGGCTTACCTGCGGCAGTGCGCGGAGCTGGCGGCAAAGCTGCGTTTTAACGCAGCTCCTACCTCCTACGAAGCTGCGAAGCTGCTGACGGAGTACCGCCAGCGCTGGAGCGTGTGCCTCCAGCGGGCGCAGGCGGAGGTAGAGGTGACGGGATAGGGGACTGATATTGTCGCTCTGCTGCATGTGTTTGCTGAAGTACCTTGTTTGTACCGCGATGATATTAATACGAAGGACCGTTCGAGAGAGAGAAAAACATACGCAGTTGAAAAGGTACAGAAGCATCAGGTAAGCTCCAGTCTTCCTCTCCTCCGTTGTCAATGCTGGCGACGATGTACCTGTGTGCTTCTGATGCTTTACAGAAAGGTACCTGTGCTTTGCAGATGCTCTCTCCCTCTCTGACTGGAGCATCAGGGAAGCTCCATTCTTCCTCTCCTCCATTGCCAATGCTGGCGACGATGTTCCTGTGTCCTCACCACTTTTGAGGCGCCTCAAAAGTGATTTCAATATTGGCGACGATGCACCTGTGTCCTCACCATCTCCTTCGAGTCGACTCAAAAAGAGGCGACTTTTGAGTCGACGAGACTTTTGAGGCGCCTCAAAAGTCGACGATGTAGCTGTGTTCTCACTATCTCCGTCCAGTCCCCATTTCACCTCGTCCTTCTCTGCACCTCTCTGCTCCTCCCCCTCAGGATGGCACCACAGTGCATCGCTTCCTCTCCAGCAGCGAGCTGAGGGATGTTTTCTGCCTTCTCACCGCCTCATCCTATTTAGGCCCCCCATTCCTCTCCTATCCCCATCCCTCCCCCCTCCCTCCTCCCTCAGGATGGCACCACGGTGCATCGCTTCCTCTCTAATGCCAAGCTCAGGGACTGCTTCTTTGTGCTCCCCTCCCCTGAGCTCACACCTACTTCCCCTCCCCAATCGCCTCCCTGCACCTCCCAATCTCTCTTCTCTCCCCCTCAGGATGGCACCACAGTGCATCGCTTCCTCTCCAGCAGCGAGCTGAGGGATTTGTCCTCCCTGCTCTGCGCGACACCTCGTTCTTTTCAGCATCCCCATTCGCCTCTCTACCGCATCTCCCCCATCCCTCAGGACGGCACCACAGTGCATCGCTTCCTCTCCAACAGCAGGCTCAGGGATTTCTTCTTCGTCCTCTTCTCTCTCTTTTCCTTCCCATGTCACCTCAACCTGCTCTCTCCCCCATCCCTCAGGACGGCACCACAGTGCATCGCTTCCTCTCCAACGCCAAGCTGAGGGAATTTTTTTCCGTTCTCACCATCTCGTTTGACAAGAATGGACTGGTACGGCATGGGCTGTTTCTTGGCCCCCTCCCCTGCTCCCCTCCCCTGCTCCCCTCCCCCGCTCGCCAAGCTGAGGGATTTCTTCTTCGTTCTCACCACCTCGTTTGATAAAAACGGACTGGTACGGCATGGACTGTTTCTTGTTTCTCGTCCGATTGTTATTATGTTGAGGCGCCTCAAAAACGACCTCTCTGGTACGGCATGGGCTGTTTCTTGTTTCTCGTCCGGTTATGACAAAGTTACTATTACATATGATTTCTGTGATTGCAAATGCAACGGGGTACTAATTGCAAGTTGTATGTATCACTTTCACGGCAGTGCACGGATAATGCTGCTGACTTTGGCTTTCTGCACATATAAATACTTATGTTTGCCTCCGTGTCCCCATCTGTGACTATAGGAGTATGTGACAACAGTGCAGGGAAAGCGGTACCCCTTTTATGGCACGCAGTGGCATCCAGAGGTGGGTTGTTGCATGCTGCTGACGTGGGTTGTGATATGCTGACCTGGATTGTGTCATGAGGTCCACTACAGTCAGGATCCACTTCCTTTTGCTCGTTCCTCTGTCCCCTTCCAACACACGCACAACAGAAGAACGCGAATGAATGGGGGCTGGACCACATACCCCACGGACGGAGCAAGCCCATTCTTCCTGCAGTCAGTCAGTCAGTCAGGATTCACTTTCTCCCGCTCGTTTCTCCCTCCCCTTCCAACGCACGCACAACAGAAGAATGCCTATGAATGGGGGCTGGACCACATACCCCACGGACGGAGCAAGCCCATTCTTCCTGCAGTCAGTCAGTCAGTCAGGATTCACTTTCTCCCGCTCGTTTCTCCCTCCCCTTCCAACGCACGCACAACAGAAGAATGCCTATGAATGGGGGCTGGGCCACATACCCCACCCCACGGAGCACACGCCATTGCTGTGCTTCTCACTCCTCCCTCTGTCCTTCCCCTCCTACTCCCAACACACGCACAACAGAAGAACGCGTACGAGTGGGGGCTGGACCACATACCCCACGGAGCACACGCCATAGCCGTGGGTCAGGCAGCAGCCAACTTCTTTGTCAAGTATGTTGAAAGTGGTCTCACGCACTACAGTCACGCGCGCGACTACGTGCGCTACAGTCACGTGTGCTAAAATAACTTCTCTATCACTCACCCACGGAGCACACGCCATAGCCGTGGGCCAGGCAGCAGCCAACTTTTGTCAGGTAAGTTGAACATGATCCTTTCAGCACTGCAATCACACATGTTGCATGCGCTGCAGTCACACGCGCTAACTTTTGAGTCGACACGGCGCTATACCATGGAGCGCCGTGTCGACTTAAAAGTTAGCGCGTGTGACTGCAGCGCATGCAACATGTGTGATTGCAGTGCTGAAAGGATCATGTTCAACTTACCTGACAAAATTTGGCTGCTGCCAATTTCTTCGTCAAGTGCGTTGCATGTTATCCTTTTAGCACTACAGTCACACATGCTGCAGTCACTTCTATACCATAGCCATGGCCAACTTCTTTGTGAATTATGCAGTCACGTGCAGTCACACGCACTTATCATCCCACCCGTTCCCTCGTATCATCCCACCCCTTCCCTCTTATCATCCCACCCCTTCCCTCTTATCATCCCTCCCGTATCTCCCCATGGCAGTGAGGCTCGGCGCAACACCCACCATCCAGCATCGGATGAGGCACGAACTACATGCTTCCACCCTTGTGCCGCATTGTTTCATGTTTCTTTCTTCCCACTACCCTCCCTTTTTCTCCCTCCCCTTTCCCCTCGTGGCAGTGAGGCTCGGCGCAGCACCCACCATCCAGCCTCGGATGAGAGCACGAACGACATGCTTCTATATAACTATGCTCCCGTGTTTGCTGGCAAGAATGGGTGAGTGGCAGCAAGTGACCTGAGAGCGAGAAAGTGTATGATCAAGTAAATTGCTTCTCTACAACTACGCTCCCGTGTTTGCTGGCAAGAATGGGTGAGTTGCAACAAGTGAATCGAGGGAGAAGGTATGAACAAGGTAAACCCCCTCTCTACGACTACGCTCCCGTGTTTGCTGGCAAGAATGGGTGAGTTGCCTAGTTGCTGGTGAGAATGGGTGAATGAGAGACAGACAATCTTAAACAAGACCATTATTTCCCCCCTTTTCCCTTTTCCCTCTTGTACTTTTCTTGTACCTTTCCCTTTTCTTTTCTGTACTTTTCTTGTAATGTTGCAGGCATGGGTACTTCGAGCAGTCATATGTGTTCAGGAAGAAGGTCGGCTTTGATTTTGCTAGAACAACCAAATGAGCAGGTCGCTTTCACGTGTTTATTAGCGTAGATTGTACAGTATGGTATCTGTTAGCATGCCTTAGGCTTCCATTTTTTATGTCAATATGGATGTTCTGCTGGGCTTGCAGGCTGAAGCTGTTAAGATCAGATCAAATCATGATACACAAAGAGGTGCATGAAGGGGTGCTGAAATGGATTTTGAGGCTAGAGGTTACAGTTTTTTTTCTCATTAATGAAAGTCAGACACACAGGTTGGCGAGGAGATGAACATGGAAGAAAGAGAACTGGGCTATCAGCTGTGCCTTAAAGAGTTACACGTACAGGGGGGCTTGTTCTGCGGTGCACCTGCATTACACACACAAGACTTGTGGGTCAACTCGAAAGTGGGGCTGGTTCAGGAAACACACTGTATTGCTCACATGGTTCATCAATCCAAGGCCACGCAGTGAATGCACTGCTAAACAGCATGGCTAACAGCTGACGCACTTAAGCAACCACCAGTTTTCCTCCTGTTCTCTTTGCTCCTACTTCACAGGCCCCTTTCCCTAGCAATCAACCAGCTTTCCTCCTGTTACTGGTATCTTCCTTGGCGCTCTGCCTTGAGCAGCATTGCCAGAACCAGCCACACCACCATCACCTCACCGTAGCACTGAAAGCAGCAGCAGCAACAGCAGCAGCGGCACAAGACCCTTCCCCTAGCAATCAGCCAGCTTCCCTCCTGTTATCTTCCTTGGCGCTCTGCCTTAAAGCCGCACTGCCAGAACCAGCCACACCAGCATCACCATAGCACTGAAAGCAGCAGCAGCAGCAGCAGCAGCAGCAGCAGCGGCGGCACAAGCAACAACACATGCAGCACTAGCAGCAATACAAGAAGCAGCAGCAGCAGCAGCAGGAGAAGCACCAACACTACCAGCAGCACCAGCACCAGCAGCAGCAGCAGCAGCACCAGCAGAAGCATCACCACCCTGAGCCACCAGCATCACCCCGCCATTGCAGTCAGTAACAACCACCTGCTCTAGCACCTTCACTCCAGTTTGTTAAACCTCCACAAGTGAAAAAGCTGCTGTTTCACCAGCCGCTACTCTTCCTCTTCCCCCGATTCCAAGCCCGAGGCTACTCCTTCACAAGCCCCTTTGCTTTGCTCACTACGACCAGCAGCACCAGGAGCACCAGCATCGCTGGAAGCACAGATACTACTCCTTCACAAGACCCTTCCCTTTGCTCACTACAAGCTTTCCTCCTGCTTTCTTCCTTGCCCCTCCTCCCCAGGCCACAGCACCAGCAGCACCACGAGCACAAATACTGCTACTGTTTCACAAGCCCCTTCCCTTTGCTAACTACTAGCTTTCCTCCTGCTTTCTTCCTTGTCCCCCCTCCCCCAGCAGCAGCACCCGAACCACCTGAATCGCCCCCGTTGCTGCCGCTCCCGTTTCTCCCCGAGCCGGTTCCGTTGCTTCGGCCGATCGACCCAAGAATGTTCTTTTTCACTGCGGCAGTAGCACCAGCACCAGTAGCACCTGCACCAGTGGCACCTGCACCAGTGGCACCAGCAGTAGCAGCACCACCAGCTGCAGTATCTAAAGCCTTGCCCAGTACTTTTGCTAACTTATCTCCTCCTCCTCCCCCCCTCCCCCTCCTCCTCCCCCTCCACTACCCTTCTCCTCATCCCACCCCTCCTCATCATCCCAGTTTTCCCACCCTTCCCCTCCCCCACTCCCACTCCCCCTCCCCCTCCCGCTCGGCCCCTGCCCCAACGCCAACGACAAATCCACCTCCTTTCCTGGAACCTTTGCGTACACCGGACCTCCGAGCCCGCCGAACCTGTCCCCGGCCTCGCTGCTTCGGCAGCAGCAGAGGCAGCAGACGCAGAGGGAGAGCGCGAGAGCGGCGAGAAGGCCCAGCAGGAGAAAGAATGCCGCTGTTTGGGCCTCGGCATAAGGTAGGAAGGTGCTGAGAAGCGATGCTAAGGGAGCCAACACAGGCTCTAAGGTTGAGGCAAGAAGTGAAGAGAGGGAGGGCTGGGAGGAGGGCGAAGAGAGGGAGGGAGAAGAAGCTGAAGAGGGTTCCGAGGAGGATGACGAAGGGACGAGGGGATTGAAAGAGGGAGGCGAAGTGGAGGGTGGGGTGAGAGATTCCTCTGAAGCTTCCTGCGAAGCGTCCTCTGAAGGCAGAGTTGCCTTGGAGCTTCCTGGAGGGGAGATCTCCTCTCCTCCTCCTTCATCCTCTTCTGCCGCTGCTGCCTCCGCTCTTGCTGCTGTGCCTCTTTCTCCTGCTTCTCCTCCCGCTGCTTCTGCTGCTGATGCTTTTGGGTTGGAAGGACCGAAATCCTGAAGAGTTCCGTACTCATCCTCCTCTCCCCCATATGGAGACTCCCTGCCACTACCCCCACCACGACCCTTACCACCGCCACCATCTCCCCCACCACCACCAAGCTCTCCTGCTCCTGCTCCTGCTCCTGCTGCTGCTTTTGGGTTGGACGGACCGAAATCCTTAGGAGTTCCATACTCGTCCTCCTCTCCCCCATACGGAGACTCCCCGTGACCAGCCCCACCAGCCCCACCAGCCCCACCACCCCTACCACCGCCACCACCACCAAGCTTCCCAGCCCCTTCTCCCTTTCCACTTGGCAGACCTCCCCCTGCCACATCACCAGGATACTCCTCTCCCTCAGCTGCATCTGCAGGTGAATCTTCAGGTGAATTTTCAGGTGTTTCCTCAGCAGCAAAGTCGTCTCCAGGCGTTGCCCACTCACCTCCCTCTTCCCTGCCTCCCTCACTCTCCCTCACCCTCTCACTCTCTCTCGCCTCTTCTTCTGTACCGTACTCTTCCTCCTCATTTGGACCTTTCCTGGCACCACTACCGCCAAATCCTTGTCCCCTCTCCTCCTCTCCACCTGTTCCTTTCCTAGCATCACTACCAACGGACACTTTCCCCCTCTTCACCTCATACTCCTCACTCCCATCCTCACTCTCCCCTTCTCTCGCCTCTTCCGCAGCAGGATAATCCTCCTCTCCACCTGTTCTCTTCCTAGCACCACCAGCACCACCTGCTTGTCCTCTCTTCCCCTCAGCCTCCTTCTCTGCACCAGTAGCTGCTGCTGCTGCAGGCCTTCCAGATACCCTTCCACCTGCCACTGAGTCTTCTTCCTCTGCTGCTGCTTCTGCATCCATTGATCCACCCTCAACCCCACCCTCAGCTGCAGCCCCCTTCCCAGTTTTACCCGGAGACCTGCTATGCAAAAGCCCTTCCTCTCCTCCCTCCGCTGCTGCTTCTGCATCCATTGTCTCACCCTCAACCCCACCTTCAACCCCGCCCTCAACCCCAGTCTTAGCTCCCCCCTCAACTCCACCCTCAGCTGCAGCGCCCTTCCCAGTTTTAACCCGAGACCTGCTATGCAAAAGCCCTTCCTCTCCTCCCTCCTCTGCTCTCATCTCCGCCTCCTCCACTCCCTCCTCTGCGTCCCCCCCCTCAACCCCACCCTCAGCTTCAGCGCCCTTCCCAGTTTTACCCTTAGACCTGCTATGCAAAAGCCCTTCCTCTCCTCCCTCCTCTGCTCTCATCTCCGCCTCCTCCTCTCCCTCCTCTTCTTCCCCTTGAGCCTCCTCCTCTGCTCCCCCTCCCTTTACCCCACCCCTTCCTCCTCCTCCCCCTCCCTCTGTCATCCCTTTCTTGAATCCTCCCTTCGCCTCCTGCTGCTGCTCAGAAACAGTAGTATCTTCACCCAAACCCTCCTCCCCCTGCTTCTCCCTCTCCTCTTGCTCTGCTTCCCCTCCCTCTCCCACTCTCACCCCCTTCTGGCCACCTCCCTTCTTCCCCTGCCGTTCAGTAATAGCAATATTATCACCCAAACCCCCTTTCCCCTCCCTCTCCTCTTCTTCCTCTCCCGTTTCTCCCTCTCTCATCACACTATCCCCTGTAAGACCTGCTCCGGTAAGAGTACCCGTTCCAGACGTGTCCTTTCCAGCAGTAGCATTTGCAGCAGTCAAATCGACCACAGTAACATCTTTTCCCGCTGCTGCAGTGGCTGCTGCTGAGTCTTCGCTACCTGCCTTGCTGACCCTCCAGCTACCCGCTGCTGTACCTTTTCCCACAGTGGCTTTTGCAGCAGTCATATCTTCCAGGGAAGCATCCGATTCCCCACCTTCCTTTGTCTCTGCCGCTAGCTCTTCAACCTCCTCTGCTGCAGCTGCATCCTCTGCTTTTTCCTCTTCCGTTTCCTCTGCCTTTTCCTCTTCCGTTTCCTCTGCTTTTTCCTCTTCCGTTTCCTCTGCCTTTTCCTCTGCCGCTTCCCCACTCTCCTTCTCCTCCTCCCCAGGCAATCCTGCATCCTCTTTACTCCCTCCCTCACTCCCCCTCTTCCCCACCACTTTCGCTTCCTCCTCACCATCCTTAGTACCTCCCACCCTACTTGTATCATTCGCTACACTACTTGTGACATTCACACCACCAGCACCAGCAGCAGCAGCAGCACCAGCAGCATCAGAACCTTTAACTTTGGGCATGATTGCCTCTTCTGCTGCTGCTAATGCCTCGTCCACCTTTTCCATCCCCAAATCCGCTGGCCCAACCTTCACTTCTTCATCCTCCTCCGCTTCTTCCTTCACCTCCTCTCCCTTCTTTTCCCCTCCCTTCAACTCACTCTCCTCCTCCCTTTCCTTCTGATCCACGCCCTCACCTGTCTGCTGCTGCCCACTCACGCCCTCCCCCCTCTGCTGCTGCCCACTGACGCCCTCTCCCCTCTGCCCCCCGCCACTCACGCCCTCTTCTATTGTCCCCTCCTTCCCTCCCTTCGCAGTCTGATTTCCCCCATCCACCTCCACCCCTCTCGTCTCTTCCTCCCCCATCCCCTTCTCCTCCTCCGCCTCCTCTTCTGCTTCGTTCTCTGCTTCCTCGCCAGCCGTCGTTGCATTCTTTGCTTCCCCACCAGTCACCTTCGGATTCTCTGCAGCCCCACCAGCCGGCCTCGCACCTGTTTCTGCGCTCCTTTCATCCCTCGCTCCCTTTTCTGTCCCCATCTCCTTCTCCTCCTCCGCCTCCTCTTCTGCATCATTCTCTGCTTCCTCGCCAGCCGTCTTTGCATTCTTTGCTTCCCCACCAGTCATCACCTTCGGATTCTCTGCAGCCCCACCAGCCGACCTCGCACCTGTTTCTGCGCTCCTTTCATCCCTCGCTCCCTTTTCTGTCCCCATCTCCTTCTCCTCCTCCGCCTCCTCTTCCTCTTCGTTCTCTGCCTCCTCCTCATCAGTACTCTTCGCATTCTTCTCTTCCCCACCAACCATCTTCGCATTCTTTTCCTCCTCCTTTTCTGCCCCGGTATTTTCGTTTTGATTAGCTCCAGGAAGAGCAGAAGTAGCAACAGCAGGTACGCGGTCAGAGGCAACAGCTGCGCCATCTATGGTACCATCAGCAGTGGCAGCAGCGGTATCCCTAGTGGTGGTGGCAGCAGTGCCGTCAAGGGTAGTAGCAGGTGCAGTGGCAGCAGTGGTATCCCTAGCAGGTGGAGGAGAAGTGGTGCCGTCAGTGGTGGCAGGTGCAGTGGTGGGAGTGGTACCGTCAGTGGTAGCAGCAGGTGCAGAGGTAGCAGCGGTATCCCTAGTGGTCGCAGCAGTGGCACTGTCAGCCGTAGAAGGTGCACGCACCTGTGCAGCATCACCAGAAGGGCCAACCGAAGCAACACGAACACCAGAGGCTTTAGCATCATCATCAGCAGCAGCAGCAGCAGCAGCAGCGGTACCTGCTGAAGTGGCAGCGGCAGCTTCCCTGTCTACAGCATCCGCAGCAGCAGATGTGGCACCTTCCGGCCTTCCAGAAGCAGTGGAAGCAACAGCAGCACGAGAGCCGGAGGCCTCAGCATCAGCAGCAACAGTACCTTCCGAAGTGGCAGTGGCAGCTTCCCTATCAGCAGCATTCAGAGCAGCCGACTTGGCACCTAGCAACCCAGCTGCAGCAGAAGCAGTAGAACCACCGGCAGCAGAACCACCGGCAGCAGCAGCAGCTGCTGCTGCATTCCCTCCATTCTCCTCCTCGTCATCCTCTTCCTGCTTCTCCTCCCCTTCCTCCCGCGCCTCCTTTCCTCCCTCGGTTGCAGTCACAGTCACACCTCCTGAAGAGCCCTTTGCATCTGAACCCTTGTTCTCTTCCTCTCCTTTCTCCGCTCCCTCTGCTGCACTCACACCAGAAGCAGCTTTCGCATTTACATCCTTCTCGTATTCCTCCCTTTTCCCTCCTTCCTCTCCTTGCTCAGATGCAGGCTCGGCGGGAGAAGCAGGCTCGGAGGAAGAAGCAGGCTCGGCAGACGATGCAGGCTCGGTAGAAGCTGTACCGGCTGTACCAGCGCCTGCGGGAATTCTAGGTTCGCCAGACCCAGCCGAGCCTGGCCTTTTGCCTCGGACAACAGGTCGGGGACCATGTAAGCCTGCAAGAAGTCGGCGGTTTGGCACAAATGCAACAGATGCCGCCGTTCCTTCCAAATTGCTAGGCCCGGAAGTTGTACCACCAGTTGAAGCACCCGAACCTCTAGGTTTGGAAAGTCCAGCCACGAGGGAGGGGGGAGATTCAGCAATAGATGCTGCAGATTCGGTGTCTGTGGGAAGAGTAACGAGAAGACTCAAAGCAGACTCGGATGTTGAGGAAAGGGTGGTTTCAGGCCTGGATCTGAGAATGAATGGATTAGCAGCAACATTAACTGATGAAGTGAACGTTTCAGGGACATGCGAAGGGACGGCTGTCTCCGATTGAAGGCCATCCGGTGATCGACTCAGTGCCTGAAAGGAAAATGCACACAATTTTTTTTTTATTAAAAAAAAAAAAAAAAAAAAGAAAGAAAGAAAGAAAGAAAGAAAAAAACTTGAGATTTTTCAAAGAGAAGGACAATGGATTCCAGCAGCAAAATAGTCAGATCCCCCCCGACGTTTTAAGATGGGAGAAGAGATAAGGCGAGAGAGGAGAGGAAAGAAAGTGAGAGAGGTGAGAGAGAGGTGAGAGAGAAGGGGAAAAGAGAAGAACGGGCTTACCCAACCAGGAGCAACGGAGGACAATCGAAGAACGATAAGGAGAATCGGAAGGCGAGGCGAAACAGAACGAAAACCGAGAGGAGAGAGAAAGAAAAAAGTGGCTTACCCAACTAGGAGCAACGGAGGACAATTGAAGAATGATGATGAGAACGCTGGACATCGACGATGACGTCATTATGCGCCGCGTCGACGTCATCCAAGCTTTCGCTACGTCGCCGCGTGGAGTGACAGAATTGATGGGCAGAAATTACGAAGCCTAGAATTCTGACAATAGGACCGTCACGAGTCGCATGTCGGTGAGCCGTTAGGAGGCTTGACGATTAGCCGTTAGAGCATTCACTACATTCACGGAATTAGGATCTCCGTATTCTCCGCATTCTCCGCATTCTCCGCATTATCTTCCGCTAACTGTAGCTATATCCTACTCCTCAGCGAATCGCCGTCTTGTGCGCGATTCTCGTTCGCGAATGCGGATGCGAGGGTAAACGAAAGCTGGCGAAAAGAACGGCCACAACAACCTTGGGAAGAGCGGCAGCCAGGCCAGACATGAACCGTAGCCGTTTCTCGCGAATCACGGAACTCTTATTTGGATGTTGAAATCACGGAACGCATGCTGCTGAAATTACGATACTCTCCATGATAAACGTTATGAATGATCTCACCTTGAGAATTCCACCCACAGGATGAGAGCAACAGCATGTCGTTGGGACCAACAACATGGTAGGTGAGGGCCCAGGCCAAGCACAGGCAGGCAGAATTCAAGTGATGTATGGGTTTCAAAAAACGTTAAATATATAATAATGTAAACAAATATTTAGCTTCCCATGGGGATGTAGCTCAGATGGTAGAGCGCTCGCTTAGCATGCGAGAGGTATGGGGATCGATACCCCACTTCTCCAGTTATTCTTAGGCTTTTTTGCTTCAGTTGATGAATTAGTTTCCTTGCATTGATTGTAATGGCTGGGGTCTGCTAGTGGGTATTGATGAAGATCCTGTGTTGTGAACATACTCGTGGTAAGTGCACCCTTCCTCAATTTGCAGGTACCTCTCCCTCTTGCATTTAGGGCGCGTGTCCTTGAGGTTGAACTTTGGCCAAAAGTTGAACTTTTAGAAAGGTTGTACGCGGTAGGATACAGTTGAGAGACGTGTCGCCACGTTACAAAGCGGTACTAGGCTCGAACTTTGACAATCTACACCAAAAGACACACGCCCTTATTCAAAGCTGTGTGGCCATGATGAAAGGAAAATGCACACCAGGTGAATTCTTCTTGAACAAATTCTAACAGGAATGGCAATGCTTTAGCACAGAAAGTCACAAACAAAATCAGCACCAAAGCTGGCAACATGGTTTCTACAATGCACTACTTATACTAAGGGGCAACATAGAGTTAGGATTATTAGGTACATACGGTTGACCTAAAAATCTTATAAAAACAGAAAGTCACATTTCACATGGGTGTTTCCCTTGACCTCATCCTCCTTATTGAGTTGAAGCTCCTCCCATCAATCCAAGAGTAGCTTTGAGCACCTGTGCACTCTCCTTGGCATACCTCACACTATCCTCTCCAGCCTTCAGCCCCAGCCACTCAGGTGGACACGTGGCGGGCAGTGATTGGACCCAGCTGGTATACGCCTCCTCCGTGTCCTCATCTGGTAAGTTCAGTAACGCCAACACACTGGTAACTGCATCACCAGCAGCGGCACCACCAGCAGCACTGGCAGAAGCAGCAGGAGCGAGAGAGAGGGCGAACCGTGGTGCGAAAAACGCCTTGGGATCTCCAAACACATGGGAGACGATGCGGCAGAGGGTGCCATGGTCTTCAGGGGACTCCATCTTGAGCCCGTAGGCTATGTCGAGGAGGAGGGTCCGCACTGCTGGCAGGCAGTTGAGAGGTGTTAGGTGGGCAGGGCTGTCTTCTTGCCAGGAGTGCAGCAGGGATAGGGCCCAGGTGAAGTCCTGCAAAGGGTGGAGAGGGGTGACAAAGGGTGGGAAACAGTGAGAATGGTTGAGAGGAAGTGGCATACGTCTGCAGGGGACTCCATCTTGAGCCCGTAGGCTATGTCGAGGGTGCGCACTGCAAGTGGTGGAAAGCGGTTGGAATGGGTGATAAGGGCACTCCATCTTGAGCCCGTTGGCTATGTCTAGGAGGAGGGTCCGCACTGCTGGCAGGCAGTTGAGGGGCGTCAGGTGGACAGGGCTGTCTGCTTGCCAGGCATGGAGGAGAGCGAGCGCCCAAGTGAGGTCCTGTAAGTAGGAAAAAAGGGGTTGAAAAGGGTGGGAAGGGGTGGGAAGGAGTGGGAAACGGTGAGATCCTCGCCATGCCCACCCTAAGCAACACCCACAGTCCAAGGCACCCTCACAGCAGCGATCCCACACGTACTCCCACCCAACACCCCTGCGCAGCAACTCACATGGTCCATGAAGGTGTAGGGGCACAGCCACCCTCTCGGCACGTAGTGCACTCGCTCCTGCAGCACCGCATGCACCCACGCCATGCCCACCCGCACCCGCAGCATCTGCCTCCTCCTCCTCCTCTCCTCCTCCTCCTCCTCCTCCTCCTCACCCCCTCGCACTTGCAGCACCTGCTGCTGCTTCCCCTGTCGCCGCTTCTCCCCTGTGACCCCACTCGGTTTGCTGCTACCCCTCTCCGCTTCTTCCTCTTCCTCCTCCTCCTCCTCACCCCCTCGCACTCGCAGCATCTGCTGCTGCTGCTTCCCCTGTCGCCTCTTTTCCACTGTAACCCCACTCGGTTTGCTGCTGCCCCTCTCTGCTTCCTCCGCTGAGTTTCTAACTCTCAGCCGCTCGTTCCACTGGCTGCTGCCTCTGGCCGAGAGAGAGAGAATGGAATCCAGAGATCGCTGTAGGGGGGAAGGATGGAGGGGGAGCGTGGGGTGTGAGTGTGAGAATAAGGAGTTGAGTGTGGTGATTCGATGTGTCCTTCCTTAGCCACTTGATCAGGTGTGGTTTCTGCCTCTCTGCCGCTCGTTCCTTATGCATGCAAGAATAGGAAGAGGAAGGGGGTCTCACCTGCATGCTGCCCTTCACCCCTGCTGGCGCCTCCATGACCACCAGCACGTCGCACGCCTCCACCAGCTTGGGCGGCACTTTGAGTCAAGTTGAGGCAACGCAAAAGGAGAGGAGAGCAACACAGAAAGCAGTCTCACCTGCATGCTTCCCTTCACCCCAGCCGGTGCCTCCATCACCAGCACGTCGCACGCCTCCACCAGCTTGGGTGGCATCAGCCGTACAGCCGCCCCCGCGGCTTCCACCGTCAGCACCAGCCGGAAATCCCGATGCAGCGGCACCGATAAACCGTGTGACTGTAACGAGTTGAGCAGTAACTGCAGCCACGCAGCGTGCCTGGGCACCGATAGAGCCAGGTGCGCGTTGCACAGCACCACCCACCGCCCCTCCCTCGCCGCTCTCTCCACTGCCTGCTGTGCCGCTGCCACTGCATCGTCTGAACCCATTGCTACTGCTACAACACTAAGGCCTGCAGCGGCTGTAGCAGCGGAAGCAGCAGCAACACTTCTGTCAGCACCTGCGGCTGTAGCAGAGGCACCAGTGGCTGTAGCAGTGGCTGTAGCAGCACTTGTAGCAGCAGCAGCGGTGAGCATGGCGGTTGGGTCGCAGCTGCCGACGCAGGCCACCAGGATCGGGCGGGCAGGTTCGGCCCGAGCCTGCATGAACCGAGCCGCAGCAGCAGGGTGCTCCATGGGATGCTCTAGTGCCATTCCAAACCTCCCTGCTGCTGGTGCTGCTGGTGTTAGTGCCGCTGAAGCTTTGCTAACACCATTGGCAGCAGCACTGCCACCTCCTTGACTGATTACAGCCTCCACCAGTCGCCGCCCAGCAATGTCCGTTTGACCCGCGTTGACTGCCATTGACTCCACGAACCCAGCCACTGCCTCCACTGCTGCACCCCTCCTGGCCTCATACTCGCTATAAGCTGCCCCAGCAGTCGTGCGCTGCAGCTCCTCTTTCACTGCGGCTGAAATCTCCCTTGCTGCTTTGCCTGCGTCCAAAGCTGTAGCAGGGGCTGTAGCAGTGCCAGTAGCACCAACAGACCCTGTAGCAAACTTCGCAGCGACAGTTGTAGCCAAGCCAACCCAGTCCACGTCATCTGCCAGCCTGGCGCAACGGGATAGGGCGAGGGCCACAGGCAGGTGGTGCCGGTACTCTGTTGCCTCTGCCGTCCTCGTTATAAGCTCACTCAGTACAGCGGCCACCAGCTGTCTCACTCTTGGCTTCACAGCCACTGCACTATCTGCCTGTCCTGCTGTTACTGCTGCTGTTGCTGCTACTGTTGCTTCTGCTGTCGCTTCTGCTGCTGATTTTCCACCTGATTCACCACTAGCCGCCGAAATCACATCGTCAAACGCCCTCAGGAAGAAATCCAGCGTTATAGAATCTGTACAGCGGCTGCTGCAGGGCGGCAGCCGCCCCAGAAAGGACAAAAAACGCCGCCGCGCCGACCTCCGCCAGCGGGGCGTACAGTGTGCGGACGGCGTCGACTTGTCTCATTACCAGCCGCACCTCTCTAGCCTTTGCCTTCACCGCTGCTGCGTCCTTTTTAATCTGAGCGAGGGTTTTTGAGACTGTAGAATCGTCCATTACAGGAGGGAGAGGGGCTGGCGTGGGGATTGGGGATTCAACGGCCTGAGAAGACAGAGAGACGCCCACAGGCGTTTGTGCTGCTGCTGCTGCTGCTGCTGCTCCTGCTGCTGCGTGTGTGTGTGCTGCTGTTGGTGTTGGTGTTGCTGCCAAGCCTGATGGTCGCTTTAATCCACTAAACATGCTGAAAGTAGGAGGGGTGCTACTGACACTGCCACCATTCCCAGCAGCACGAGCAGGTGTCACAGCCACGTTCCCGGTAATCACACCTCCTGCTTCCTTCCCGGTAACCCCATCCTCTTCTGGTGACGTCAGCACCTCAAGCAATCTCCCCTCCAGCTGGCGCAATCTCCTTCGGCATCGCTCCTGCAGAGCCGCCGCCCGGTCTCTCTGCTGCGCCACGTCAGCGCGCTCCCGACCAATCACGCGGCTCAGCAGGTGCTGACGCAACCAGGAGGGCGAGATGCCGGTGGTCACCACCGCGGTTTTGGATAAGAGAGAGGGGGAGAGAGGAGGGAGGAGGGACTCGGTTGTTAGGAAGAGACGGAAGGAGGGAGAAACATCGATTTCTCGGTTCAGCAGGCGGATTTTGGACAGGGAGGGAGTGAGAGAGAGAGTGGGTGAGGAGAGCAAGGAGGATGAGGAGGAGGAGGAGGAGGAGGAGGAGGACGAGGAGGAGGAGGGGGAGGGGGAGGAGAGGAGGAGGGACGAGAGAATGGAGCTCATATGTGACACGTCTCGAATGATCAACGGAAGGCCAAATCTGACTGCTTTTTCCGCTGCTCGTGCCAGCACACTCTCCTCCTCCTGTGCGCTCACACACACCACTCCCATCTCCTGTTTCACTTCCCCTGAACGCTGACTGTCACTCAAACCAGGAGCATTTTTGGCTGTAGCGAAATCGGCTGCAGCAGACTCGGTGTTCCCGGCTGTAGCAGACTCAGCTGTAGCAGAACCAGCTGTAGCAGCAGAGGCAGAGCAGGAAAGAACCTTCCTAAGAAACTCAACCATTCTTCCAGATGGGTCCACAAGCAGAGGCACCCTCCGGCACTTGAGCACCGATTCCGCGTTCTGTAACGCGTACTCGTCCTGTGGTAACCCCATCGCCTCCCATTTCGCCCGCTCCTCCTCCACCTCCTCATCCTCCTCCACCCCTCCCCACCCCTCCTCACCCCCCTCCCCTCCCCTCTCCCCAACCCCGTCCAACCCCACCTCACCCCTCAGCACACCCCCCTTCGAAAACTTCAACCCCCGGGAACCCACCACCTCCTGCCACTTAGCTAAAAGCCGCTGCCTTTCCGCGAGCTCCAGCGGTCCCAGATACGCAAGACTCGCAGCTCTTAGCAAAGCGTCGCCTAAGCACGCCGCCGCGCGGCTCTTGAGCATTTCGCGCTGCTTCATCCAACGGTCACGCTCGTACGTCAGGTCTTTGACTAAGCTGGCGGCGCGTTGCATGGCAAGCTTTGATTGGTGGATGTCGGCGCGCATGGCCTCACAGGCAGAGAGAAGGAGGGAGTGCTCTTCCCTGCATGCTTCCATGCGCTGCTCCAGGTTACCGATGGACTCCTGATGGGTGCAATGCGGTGACAAGTGATGCAGTGAGGGATACAGTGGTGCAGTGCGGTGAAGAGGGGTGGAGAGAGGTGAAAGGTAAGGGAGACAGGGAGGAATGAAGGACGGGTTAGGGGAAAGTCGGCCCGCATGGCTTCACAGCCGGAGAGCAGGAGGGAGTGCTCTTCCCTGCACGCTTCCATGCGCTCCTCCAGATTGCCTAAGGATTTCTGATGGGTGAAGAGCGGTGAAGAAAGGTGCAGTGTGATGAAGAGCAGTGCAGAGTGGTGAAGGGTGGTGTGGGAGGGAAGAAGACAGGAAGGAAGACAGGGAGGGTTAGGGGGATGTCGGCGTGCATGGCTTCGCAGGCGGAGAGGAGGGAAGTGCTCTAGAGATCCAATGGACTCCTGATGGATGCAGTGCGGTGAAGGGCGGTGCAGGGGAGTAACCCACCTGCACGTGTTGCAGCTCCTCTGCCATGCTGCCCGCCTCCCCCTCCAGCTGCTCCATCTCGTCCCTCATGGGCTGCACTGCCCTCAGCATCTCACCGTACTACACCCAGTAGTAACCAGGCAGGCAGTAACCAGACAGCGGCAACCAAACTGTTAGTAACCAGACTGGCGGTAACCACACATTCCCACCCACCTGCACGTGCTGCAGCTCCTCCGCCATGCTACCCGCCTCCCCCTCCAGCTGCTCCATCTCGTCCCTCACCCTTTCAGGCAGGAGACAGTGGTAACCAGAGAGTATGGTAACCAGATAATGGTAACCACAACCCACCTGCACGTGTTGTAGCTCCTCCGCCATGCTGCCCGCCTCCCCCTCCAGCTGTTCCATCTCGTCCCGCATGGGCTGCACGGCCCGGATGATCTCACCGTACTGCACCGCTGCCTCTAACCACGAGAACAAAGGACCACACGCCTTGCTGGCTCTGTTGGGAGGGGAGGAGAAGGGAGTGAAACAAAATCAGTCCCACGTCCCTCATGGGCTGCACCCCCTTCAGTATCTCACCCTACTGCACTGCTGCCACGAAGAACAGCGGCCCACACGCCTTGCTCGCTCTGGTGGGAGGGGAGATATAAGAGGGGAGATATCCGAGAGGAGCGGAGGAATACGAAGGTTTGGGCTGCATGGCTTGCAGAATTTCCCCATACTGCACCGTTTTCGCTGCTTCTAACCACGGGAACAGCGGCCCACACGCCTTGCTCGCCCTGGTGGTGATAGCACACAGTGGATAAGGGACAGGAGGGGAGGAGAGACAGGAGGAGAGGTGAGGAGTGGGGAGTAGAGAGATTAGCTCATGGGCTGCACGGCACGATGAGCTGCACGGCACGATGAGCTGCACGGCACGATGAGCTGCACGGCACGAGGGATCTCACTGTACTGCACCGCTGCTCTGCTTCTAACCACGAGAAGGGTCTACGCTCTACACCTTACCATTGACTCGCTCTCACCTGTTGACAGCATCAAAGGAGATCACCTGTGTGTCCAGGCACTCCCGCTTCACGCGCAGCACTGGATGGGGGGGTCTAGGGTACATGCTGGATCCCAAATTGTCTGTCTCCGTCTCACGCTCTCACCTGTTAACAGCATCAAAGGAGATGACTCGCGCGTCCAGGTACTCTCTTTTCACCCGCAGCACCAGCACCGGGTCTATGGCCTCCATATCACAGTGCATCCCGGTATAGAGATGCTGCTTCCTGTGATGACTACAATAGAGTAATACGGCATGCTCTCACCTGTTGACGGCATCAAAGGAGATGACCCGTGCGTCCAGGTACTCTCTCTTCACGCGCAGCACCAGCACGGGGTCTATGGCCTCCATATCGCATCCCAGTATAGAGGGGATGAAGTCGTTCCGGCGCACCACCGAGAGAATGCCCTGCCACGTCGTGGGCTTTAAGCCTGTCAGGAGGAGGCACACTCCTTCCAGCGTCTGTTGTTCAAGGAAAAGATTGGGGGAAGCAGGAAGCGGAGTGGAGGGGATGAAGTCGTTTCAGCGCACCACAAAGAGAATGCCCTGCCACGTCGTGGGCTTTAAGCCCGTCAGCAGCAGACACACTCCCTCGAGGGTCTGTTGTCAGTGAGGAGGGGGGTTAGGGGAGTGCAGGGGAGAGAAGAAAGTTGTTTCGGAGCACCACCGAGAGTATGCCCTGTCTCGTGGTGGGCTTTAAGCCCGTCAGCAGCAGGCATACTTCCTCTAGAGTCTGGTGGGGTAAAGGGGGGAGGCAGGGAGCGGGTTGGATGAGAGAATGCCCTGCCACGTCGTGGGTTTTAAACCCGTCAGGAGGAGACACACTCCCTCTAGAGTCTGTGGTTGTGGGCGGGAGAGTGGGGAAGAGTTGGGAGAGGGAGGGAGGGGAGTGGAGGGGATAAAGTCGTTTCGACGCACCACCGAGAGAATGCCCAGCCACGTGGTGGGCTTTGAACCTGTCAGGAGGAGGCTCAACCCTTGAGAGTCTTGTGTTGTTTAAGGAAGGGTTGGGTGGGAGAAAAGGGAGGGAGAGTGGAGGGGATGAAGTTGACTAAGCGCACCACCAGACGAGACTTCAAGCAGGTATTCTTGATGGCACTGGGCGGGTGGGGCATGGCCTTGAGATCATCCAGCTGGGACTTCCGTATCGACTTCACCGCCTTCAAGGACTTTTGAGCAGGCACACACAGACAAGACAGTAAGCCCATGAGCACGCACCAGCTTGATGGCACTGGGAGGATTCGGCATGGCCTTGAGATCATCCAGCTGCGATTTCCTAATCGACTTCACCGCCGTTTTCGCCGCCTCAACCGCCGGCTCCACCCGCTCCAGATTCTCCTGCGCCTCCCGCCTGTGCCTCTCCACGCTCCTCGCCTGCTCGTCCAACCTCGCAATCAGCCCCTGCGCCTCTGCCCTCTGTCTCTCCCCCAGCGCTTGCTCAGCCGCAATCTGCCTCTCACTCCAATCAGCTCATACATAAACACACAACCACTCACCAGTTTAATCGCGCTCGGTGGATTCGGCATGGCCTTGAGATCATCCAGCTGCGATTTCCTAATCGACTTCACCGCCGTTTTCGCCGCCTCGACCGCCGGCTCCACCCGCTCCAGATTCTCCTGCGCCTCCCGCCTGTGCCTCTCCACGCTCCTCGCCTGCTCGTCCAACCTCGCAATCAGCCCCTGCGCCTCTGCCCTCTGTCTCTCCCCCAGCGCTTGCTCAGCCGCAATCTGCTGCAGCTTCCCGTTCGCCGCCGCTTCTTTTACCTCGAGTTCTTTCGATTTGAGTTCTAGATGTTTTCGGAGGAGTACCACGCGGTGCTCTGCGGCTGTGACTTTGGTAAGGCCCAGGGAGAGGTGCTGGAAGGTGCGGTGTGTGCGGCGGTGGGAGAGGGAGACGGAGGAGTGGAAGTGGGTGAGGAGGTCGGAGAAGGAGCGGAGGGAGATGAGAGAGTCTGGGGAGAACGAATGCTGCAAGCTCCCCTGTTGCTGCTGCTCCCCTCCCAGCCCAGCCTTCCCGGAAGCTCTGTTATTGAGTGACTCGCTAACAGCACTAACACCGCAGCCATGAATCGCCACCAGAACCTCCGCAAGCAGCTGCCTCTCCTTCGCTTCCCCAGCCCCATCAGCCCCACCACCAGCAGCACCAGCAGCAGCACCACCAGCAGCACCAGCAGCAGCACCACCACTCCTGGCATCAGCCAAAATATCACTCTGCTCCGAATCTCCTCTTCCTCCTGCTCCTGCTCCTGATGCGGCTCCTGCTCCTCCTCCTCCTCCTCCTCCTCCTGCTGCTGTAGCAGCTGCGGCCGAAACAGGGTGGACCAGCGAAACACCTGCAAGCCGGCACCGGGCGAGTGAACCAAGACCCCTCTCCCCCCAGGGCGGCAGCCAGAGCACGGTGCAGCGGTTGAAGAGAGCCGGCGACGCCAGCATGCTCTGGCGCATGTGAGCGCTGCCCTGGCTGGTCATCACCAGCACCACGTGCAGGTTGGCTTGGACCCTCCTTCTGAACCCTGCCCAGGCTGCTTCCACGCTTCCCTCCGCCTTGCCAGCCAACTGGAGGGCTTCCAGTAGCTCCTGCAGGGAACGAGGGGTTCGGGATTTGTGGGTGTTGGGATTCAGGGTGCAGTTTAGGGTATCGGGTTTGGACGACTTCTCACAATCCTCACCTGCTGATTCTACGCCGAAACATCCCATCTAACCCAATCGCCCCCTCTCACCTGCTGCTTCTCCGCCCCAAACAGCCCAGGAACATCCGCCCCTATCAGCAGCGAGTTGAGCCTCTCAAGCAGAGCGCTCTCCACCAGATGCCATGCTGCTGGCTTTACAATACCACCATCAACCAAATTCCCCCTCTCATCTGCTGCTTTTCTGCTCCGAACAGCCCAAGCACATCCCCCCCTGTTAGCAGCGAGTTGAGCCTCTCAAGCACTCCACCACATGCCATGCTGCTGGCCTTCCAACACCACCATCACCCATATTCCCCCGTCTCACCTGCTGCTTTTCCACCCCAAACAGCCCGAGAACGTCTCCCCCTGTCAGCAGCGAGTTGAGCCTTTCCAAAACCGCGCTCTCCACCAGATGCGCCTCCTCCAGAAGAAGACAAACGCGCCGCCCGTCGCACCCCGCCGCCCGCAGCGCCTCCTCCAGCGGGCCGTCCAGCTGGCGCTCCTCGAATCCCTTGTGCAGCGCCACCCGCACCTCCACCAATCCCTTCACAGCGATCGCCGACCTGAGTTTGTTGGGAGAGCAAGGGAGATCAGGGAGAGAAAAGAGGAGGCAGAGCAGGAGCGGTCACCGGGAGGAGGGGAGGGGGAGGAATTTGGGTTGTGAACCAAGGAAGAACCTCGAATCCCACGTGCAACCCCTCCTGGCCAATCGTGTCGCAGCGATCGCCCGCCTGCGTGCAAGATTGGGTAACCACAGTGGGCAAGAGGGTAGGGCAACCAAGGAAGCACATGGAGGGACCGCCACCAGCACGTTGACTTTTGAGTCGACTCAAAAGTCAACTCACATGGAGGGAACGCCACCTTCACGTTGACTTTTGAGCCAACTCAAAAGTCAACTCACATGGAGGGAACGCCACCGGCACGTTGACTTTTGAGCCGACTCAAAAGTCAACTCACATGGAGGGAACGCCACCGGCACGTTGACTTTTGAGCCGACTCAAAAGTCAACTCACATGGAGGGAACGCCACCTTCAAGTTGACTTTTGAGTCGACTCAAAAGTCAACTCACATGGAGGGAACGCCACCGGCGCCTGCACCAATCTTATCGCAGCAACCGCACACACACAAACAGACAGAAATGCCCACCGACTCAATCCCTGCCTAGCCTAAGCATAGACTAGCGGAGACTAGAACGAGCTAAGTCTGGTGATCTAGGTCAAATCTATTTCTCTCAGCAACCGCACACACACAAACAGACAGAAATGCTTTCCACCCACTTGACAACAGTAGACTTCCCCGTAGCAGGAGGACCAAACAGCAGCAGATGCCCCATCGGCAGCTGCAGCACCAACGCCGCCCTCACCATCGCACACACACAGAACTGTTTCGAATATCCCTAGACCGCAAACCCCAGAAGCCTAAATTCACCTGGCAACGGTCGATTTCCCAGTCGCAGGTGGACCCAGCAGCAGCAGATGCCCCATCGGCTGCTGCAGCACCGACGCTGCTCTCACCACCGCACACACAAACTCATCCGTCAATACCACCTCCCCTGCTTGCACCTCCCCCTCATCTACCTCCCCCTTTTCCACCCCTAGTTCTTCCGATTCTTCCAAAACCTTCCTCCCTATTTCCTGCTCCACCTCCCCTGTTTTGCTGCCTGATGCCCGCTTGCCTGCTCCTCCTCTCCTGTCCCCACCCTTTTCTGTTGCCCCACCACCTGAAGAAACACCTGGTTTCACCTGGCCAGCACCTGCCCCTCCTGCAGCGTCCGGGGTCTCCCCTGTCAGGGCCCACTTCAGGTGCTTTTTCAGGTGGCCCACCGCGCACGGCTCGTACCGCCCCGTCAGAAGAGATGAAAACACCAACCGGCTTGGGTCGGCAGGTAGCGAGAAAGGCACAGCAGGAACACCATCCGCAACACCATCAGCAAAAGCAACAGGATTCCCTGTACTCGTTACAAGAGTGTTCCCTATAAGAGGCACGAGCACCGGGAGTATCTTTTCCCTTGCCACCCGCAAAAGCAGCTTTGCCGTCCATTCCCGCTCCTCCTCCCCCACCAGCCTATCATACCAGATCCGCATCCCCTCATGCAGCCACGTCAGGACAAGCCTTGCCGCCCAGCTGCCCTCCCCATCACCACCAGCAGAAGCACCACCAGCGCCTGTATTTGCACTTGTCGCTCCACTCAATCCCACACCACCACCCAATCTCGCAACACCAGCACTCACACGCCCCTTACCACTCTTCCCACTCACCCTACCCTTGTCACCCCTCTCAACCGCCCCATTCTCCCCCCTATCGACCCCGCCTCCCTTTCCACCCCTCTTAACCGCTTTCTGCCCATGCACCAGGGCGAATCGGATCCCTCTAGTCCACCTGGTGAGTTCCCTGGGACTGCACACGTAGTGCTGCTGCACAGCCCGGGTGAACCGCACCCCACACGCCTCATACACCTCCACCATCGCCGCTGCCAGGGTCGCACCCACCTGAGAAACCACCTGAGAATCCACCTGAGAAACGACCTCAGAATCCACCTGCGCGCACGCTGCCACCCCAGGCCCGTACCGGACCAACATCCCCCTTATAAATGTGCTGTAGATCCGTGTAAGAGCCGCGCCGGACGGGAACGGAACATGCGCAACAGTGAGATGCCTTGTAAGGCGTACAGGTAGTTCGTGCCTGCCCACGTCTGAAGCGGGATTGCAGGTCGCTGCAAATGACACCCGCCTCAGGTGCACCCAAACGCGCCTCTTCGGGTGCCAGAACCCATACGCATACCCACTCCCCCCACCGCTGCTGTAACCACTGCTGCTACCACTGGTGTGACCAGTGATAGCACCACTGCTAACCCCACTGCCATCGTTCCCGCTGCTGCTGTCACCATTGCTGCTGCTCCCCCTGCTGCCACCACCACCCACCCACTGCTGCCCCGCCGCCTGCGGGATCAGCTGCGGCTCCGCTAGCTGCCGAAGCAGGCCGGCCATGCGGATGGTGCCGAATGCATCAGGGGCGGGGAGGTTGACCTCATCTAGTAACAGCAGCAGACGACCGTCTGCAGGCACAGGGTCCTTGGGCTCTAGCGCCCAGTTGATGTTTGGAGTGGCAGCTGCTGCTGCCACTGCCGATGCTGATGTTGAAGCCTCTGCTGCTGCTGCTGGTGATGCTGTTTCGTGTGACCCACCAGCAGCAGCAGCGCCACCAGCACCTGTAACAACACCAGCACCACGAGCGACCCCAGAAGAACCGCCAGCAGGGAGCTTGACGTAGCGGCAGTGCTGCTCCAGCTCAGCGATAAACGACTCGGGGGACGTCGACAGCGACAAATTGAAAGCTGCCACGTGGAGCTTTGGCCCTGCCGCTGCCGCCGCCTCGGCCTCTGCCGACTGCTTGCTCCCTTCTTGCTGCTTCTGAGAAAGCTTCTCCTTTCGCTGCTGCATCGCCATCCCACCACCACCACCAACACCACCAGCACCACCAGCACCAGCACCCAAACTACCAGCAGCACCAGCAGCCGCAGCAGCGGCGGCAGCAGCAGCCTGTGCCTCGTCAGCACCAGCAGCAGCCAATGCCTGCGCGACAGCTGTCAGCGCGAGGGTCTTCCCGCTCCCGGGCGGCCCACAGAGCAAGATGGGTTGTGATTGGGCGAGACTGGCCTTGATTACCGCACCCAACCGTTCTGTCTCTGCTGTGGGAATGACGGTGGTCGAGTCTATCCCCCCTCCTGCTCCTGTTGCTCCTCCTGCTCCCCTTACCCCTCCTGATCCTCCCTTTCCTTCTTTTCCTGCCTTCCCTGCTACACCCTTTGTCTCTCTCCCCTGTTTTGTAACGCCCATACTGCCACTGCCCCGACCACCAGACACAGATCTCCCCCTTCTGTAACTCATACTCCTCTCCTCTTCCTCCACACTTTCTTCCTCTCCCTCCTCCTCTTCCTCCTCCCCAAAACACCCCCCAACAGCCGCATCAGCATCAGCCAATCCCGGCAGAGCAGCCTCCCACGGCTTCCAATGGCCACTCGCCACGTCAGCGAAACAGCTCAGCAGCTGCTCTGACGTGGCATGACATGCCACGTCATCCTTACCCCCTCCTTCAGACGCCAAAATACCAGCTAATCTGTCTGCAAAGGCAGAGCGAGAGGTAACATCCATCCCCCCCGCAACCCCTGCCATAATCGCCTCTACCATCGCTTTCCTGGTAAATCTCCCCACCACCGCCATCGACCCATTCGCACCTCCCTTTATCCCCCCTTCACCGCTCCGCACACCTGCTGCTTCAAGAGCGTCACTCTTGGAAGGCGTGGCTTGGGAGGCGGAGGTTTGGCAGAGGTCCGAGGTTCGGTAACAGTAGTAAAGGAATACCGAACGAAGGGCACGCATGGGATCGAAAGGAATGGAATCTGCCTCGGCCGAACCTGCAGCTGTAACGGCTGTACCACTGGCAGCGCTGGCAGCATCGGCACCAGTAGCAGCGCCACTGCCAGCAGCAGCGGCTTCCAGAGCCTGCTGCAGCAGCCCCCCCGGCTGTAGCGCCGCCAGTGCTACAGTCAGCACCGGCTGTAGCAGCGGCTGTGGCAGGCCGGGCGGCAGCAGCTCCAGATGCTCGTCTGGCGCGTCAATCCCGAGGGACAGGCGCGAGGGGAGGAAGAGAGGCGTGGAAAAGAGCGAGGAGGTGAGGGAGGAGGAGAGGGAGGAGTGGGAAGAAGAAGTAGTTGTGGTGGTTTTGGGGATAGCGGCTGCTGGTGTTGTTGTGGTTGAGAGAGAGGGAGGGAGAGGGGAAAGAGGAGGAGGAGGAGGAGGGGGAGGAGGAGGGTGGGGGGAAGGGCATGGGGGGGAGGAGGAAGCGGAAGCGGTGGAGGAGCATGGGGAGGGAAACGAGGGAGGGGGGGAAGCAGACCACCCCGAGACGAGAGATGGTGGCAGGAGTGGCGTGGGCGAGCGAGGGGCACTCGAATATGCAGTGCATGTGTGGGAGGAGAGGCAGGCGCTCGCCTGTGGGTAGAGTCATAACCTGTTGGGTACCAGGGGAGGGGAGGGGCGAAGGGGAGAAGCAGTAGGGCAAAGGGCAGAGTGGAAGGGTGAGGGAACGGGGGGAAGCAGACCAACCCGCGGCGAGAGATAGTGGCAGGAGTGGCGTGGGCGAGCGAGGGGCACTTGAATATGCAGTGCATGTGTGGGAGGAGAGGCAGGCGCTCCCCTGTTGGTAGAGTCATGACCTGAATGTCGAGGGGAAGGGGAGGACACAGGCAGTACGGTAGAGGGGAAAAGGGGAGGGGCAGAGGGACAAGACTGTGTGTGTGTGTGTGTGTGTGTGAGAGAGAGAGAGAGAGAGAGAGAGAGAGAGAGAGAGAGAGAGAGAGAGAGAGAGAGAGAGAGAGAGAGAGAGAGAGAGAGAGAGAGAGAGAGAGAGAAGACCGTTTGAGACATGGGGGAGGAGAGATTTTCCTTATGAGAATTCTCAAAAGGCTCTAGACAATCTCAGGTGGGTACGCCCATGTTTGTCGCATCACATGACCCAACAACATCCTCTTTACAAGCAACCTCGCTATCTCACCTTGTTATCGTCCAGCAATGAGTTGAGCGTCTCGATCCAGATGGGATCCACCTCCCCGTCAAACACAAACCAGTGCCGCCGCCGCCACTCCACGCCTCTCCTCACATTCCCTCCTGTTCCTTGCTGCATCTCCCCTCCTCCATCACCCTCCTCCCCTTCTCCTTCCCTTCTCTCTCTCCCCTCCTCCACTTCCACCTCTTCCGCCGCCCCCTCTCTTCCCGTCGCCTGCTCCCTCTCCTCCTCATACTCTCTCACGACAGCCCTTAAAGCCCGGGTGAACACGCCGTCCTGCCATTCCCGAGTAGTCGCTTCTATGCTCCCAAACAGCGCCTCCTTGGACAGACTCTTTGGGTCAACCACTGTCACTGAGACTTGGACACGTTGTGATGCCTCTAGGGCCTCGCGCAGCACTGCAGTCATTGGAATGGGGTTCGAGGAAGGGGAGGGGAGGGGAGAGAGGAGATTCGGGTGAGAAAACGCCACCTTGAACAGCCCATCCTACCACTTGCGACGCTTCCAAGGCCTTACGCAGCACTGCGCACGGGGAATGGGGGAGAGGGTGAGAGGGGAGAGAAGGGGAAGGGAATGAAGGGGAGGGAAAGACTCTTGAGGTCGACCACTGTCACAACCCCCCCCCCCCCCCCCCCACCCGTTTCCATGCTTTTACTGCTTTACGGAGCACTGCCAAAAAGGGAAGGACAACGGGAAGAAAGAAGGCAGTGGGAGGGAAGGCCCTGATTGTGTATTCCATCAACCCATCCCCACCCCATCATCCCCCTCCCAAACCCATCCCCAGACCATCATCACCTTCAGCAACCCCTCTTCACCGCTCCTCACCTCTCCAAGCAGTCGTCTTCCCAGCTGGCGGCCCAATCAGCATGATTCCCTGATGCAGCCCCATCCCTCTCGTCCTCACCTCTCATCATCACCCCTCCCCAATCCGTCCCCACCCATCTTCACCCCTCCTCACCTCTCCAAGCAGTCGTCTTCCCAGCAGGCGGCCCCACCAGCATTATCCCCTGATGCAGCCCCATCAGCCTCGCCACTACCCCAACATCATCCCTCATCACCCCTTTCCACCCATCCCCACCCCATTTTTCCCCTACCCAACCCATCTTCAACCCGCTTCACCCCTCTTCACCACTACTCACCTCTCCAAGTAGTTGTTTTCCCAGCAGGCGGCCCCACCAGCATGATCCCCTGATGCAGCCCCATCAGCCTCGCCATCTGCAGCACCTTCCTCGTCCAATCACAGCTCGCCACGTACCCCTCCCTCTCACACACCGCCTCCACCGCCGCTGCCAGCTCAGCATCGCCCGTCTCCTCCACAGCCACGTCCGGAAGGTTCCGGGAAACCACCCTGCGGAAGGTTGCCACGTCAGCAGGTGCCAGCTTGGCTGCCAGCTGGCCGAAAATGCCCTGGACTAGGGAGCGTGACTCCAACGGCCATCTCGACACCCGGTGGGCCTCTTCGTCCTCTTCCTCCTCTGCTTCTTCCTCATCTTCCTCTCCCTCAACCTTCCCCTCTACCTCCTCCCCTCCCTCTGCTCGCACCTCCTCTGTGTCCTCCTCTGGCACCGTCTCCTCTATCACCTCCCGTTCCTCCCCTTCCTCCCCTTCCTCCCCTTCCTCCCCTTCATCCCCTTCCTCCCCTTCATCCCTTTCCTCCTTCTCTCCCTCATCCTCCTCATTCTCCTTCTTCTCTTCATCCTCCCCTTGCTCGCCATCCTCTGCCTCATAAAACTCCTCCCTCTCCTCCTCTTTCTCCTCTCGCACACTCCCCTCCTCTTCTCCTACACATCCCTCCGCCCCTCCCTCCTCACCCTTCCCCTCCATATCTCCCTCACACACCTCCTCCGTCTCCTCCTCGCCTTCCCTCCCATCCTTCTCACCCTCAATAGCACCTTCTTCTACTACCTCTACCCTCCCAATACTTTCATTCTCACTCGCACCCCCCTCCCGTTCGGTCTGTGCCAGCATAGCAGATCTAGCAGACTTGAGAGCAGCTTTCAGCGCTCTCAGGCTGAAGTCGTACTGAGGCTGGGGGTCTAAGCACTGCTCTGACTCCTGTGGGAAAAGGCAGACAAAAGGGATCAAGGGGAAGGAGGGGAATGAGGGAGTGAGAGAGCAGGCATAACAGATCTAGCAGACTTGAGAGCTGCTCAGAGCGCCCTCAGGCTGAAGTCGTACTGAGGCTGGGAGTCTAAGCACTGTTCCGACTCCGGGATAAGGCAAGGGCAGGCCAAGGGGAGGAGGAGCAAGGAAGGGAATGAAGGGAGAGAGGGAACCTAACAGCCTTGAGAGCTGCCTTCAGGGCTCTCAGGCTGAAATCGTCCTGGGGGGGTCCCACCACCAACACCACCCAGCCATACCAGGAATATGCGAGTGGCAGCATCGGCCTGCCTCTCAGCATGTGAAAATCCGCAAGACAGCAGAGTCACATGGGCGATGGCGGCACACGCATCGCAAGGGAGAGACTCTGTATGTATGTGTGCGTTCATGTGCTTGTCTGGATACGTGTACGTGCGCATTCACACACATACCTGGAAGATTCGAGTGGCAGCATCGGCCAGCCTCTCAGCATGTGGGAATCCACACGACAGCAGAGTGACATGGGCGATGGCGCATGCATCAGGGGGATGGTGACTGTGGCTGTGCAGCCTGTACGCATGTGTTCTGCGTGCAGCTGTGGCTGCATGTGCATGTCATTTCACCATACCTGGAATATGCGAGTGGCAGCATCGGCCAGCCTCTCAGCATGTGAGAATCCGCACCGAGTGACATGGGCGATGGCGCACGCATCAGGGGGATGGTGACTGTGGCTGTGCAGCCTGTACGCATGTGTTCTGCGTGCAGCTGTGGCTGCATGTGCATGTCATTTCACCATACCTGGAATATGCGAGTGGCAGCATCGGCCAGCCTCTCAGCATGTGAGAATCCGCACGACAGCCGAGTGACATGGGCGATGGCGCACGCATCAGGGGGATGGTGACTGTGGCTGTGCAGCCTGTACGCATGTGTTCTGCGTGCAGCTGTGGCTGCATGTGCGTGTCATTTCACCATACCTGGAATATTATTGAGACGTCTCAAAAGCTGTGCAGCCTGTACGCATGTGTTCTGCGTGCAGCTGTGGCTGCATGTGCGTGTCATTTCACCATACCTGGAATATTATTGAGACGTCTCAAAAGATGTGCAGCCTGTACGCATGTGTTCTGCGAGCAGCTGTGGCTGCATGTGCATGTCATTTCCCCATACCTGGAATATGCGAGTGGCAGCATCGGCCAGCCTCTCAGCATGTGAGAATCCACACGACAGCAGAGTGACATGGGCGATGGCGCATGCATCAGGGGGATGGTGACTGTGACTGTACATGTGCGTGCATGGTGCACACATCAGTAACATCCATACCTGGAAGATTCGAGTGGCAGCATCAGCCAGCCTCTCAGCATGCGAAAATCCACACGACAGCAGAGTCACATGGGCGATGGCACATGCATCAGGAGTGGCAACGGTGAGAGGGCGAAGCAGAGCGGACAGGCTCTCAGGCAGGTGGTCCCTGCCTGCATAGCGCGGGTTGAGCGTCACGAATATGCCTGGGAGTGGTAAGATAGATACAGGAGGGGGAGTGGAAGGTGGTGGGTTGGGAGGAAGGGAATGCATCCGGGGTGGCGGCGGTGAGGGGTCGCAGCAGAGCGGACAGGCTCTCAGGCAGGTGGTCCCTGCCTGCATAGCGCGGGTTGAGCGTCACGAATGTTCCTGGAAGCTGGGAGAGAGGGGAGGGAAAGAGTGTGGGTGGCGAGGAATGTCCGGCGAGTGAGGAATAAGGACAGTGAGAGGGCGAAGCACAGCAGAGAGGCTCTCAGGCAGATAGCCCCTGCCTGCATAGCGCAGGTTGAGCGTCACACCCACACCCACTCACCAGTAGCAGGGTGCACGTGCGCGGCAGCACCAGCCAGCACGGCCTCCCTCCGTCCCTCCCCCATCCAAGCAAACACCACAGCACACACACAGCAGGGCACACCGAAACCCAAACCCAGTCACCAGTGGCAGGGTGCACGCGCCCAGCCTCGCCACTCCCTCCAGCTACCCACCCCACCCACTCGCACCCAGGCACCCGCTCAACCCTTCACACAGACACACTCTCAGAGCACACACAGCAGAATCGAGAGGGAATTCTCCCACCCACCCACTCACCAGTGGCAGGGTGCACAGGCACGGCAGTCCCAGCCAACACAGCCTCCCTCCGTCCCTCCCTCAGCGCGCCCTGAATGGCCACCAGGTGCTGCGATATAGCCGACATTGTACTCTCGTCCAACCGATTGAACTCATCCATGCATCCCCACGCGCCCAGCCTCGCCACTCCCTCCAAAACCCTTCCCACCGCCGCACTGTCAAAACTCCTATCACAAGATAACGCCAAAACCGGCCGCCCGAGCTGCCGCCCGAGCGCCTTGACCGTCTCGGTCTTCCCCGTGCCAGCTGGGCCAATCAGAGCACTGCCCTGCCCGTGCCAGAGCGCCTGGGAAAGTGCGAGGAAGCAGCGGTCAGTGAGGGAGGTGCGGACGAGGGAGGGAGTGCAACCAGAGTATTCAAACCCGTAGGTGAAACAAGCGTCTGCGATTTGGACTGAGAGGCGGTGGAGGGGAGGGAGGGACGGGTCGAGGTAGTATCGGAGGCATTTTCGCCAGGCGAAGGAGGAGAGGGAGAGCCCTTGCTGCTTCCTCTCCTTCCGCTTCTGCTTCTGCTGCTCCTGCTGCTGCTGCTGCTTCTGCTGCTGCTGCTGCTGTCCTGCACACCCCATATTCTCCTTATTCTCCTCCTCCGCCTCTGCCCGTGCCTGCTCGTCCCGCTGCTCCAGCAGCAGCGCCTTACTACTCTCCAGCAGGTGAACCAGCACAGTAATCACCGCCTCGCACTTCGCCTCCATCACCCTCCCCTCCTCGCCACCTGCTACCCTTGCTACTCCCCCTGCTACTCCCCCTGCTACTCCCCCTGCTACTCCCCCTGCTACTCCCCCTGCTACTCCCCCTGCTACTCCCCCTGCTACTCCCCCTGCTGCTCCACCTGCGCCCCCAGACAGCTCTCTCCTCTCCCTTACAGCTCGCGCCAGCCACTGCAGCAGCCCCTCCAGCCCCCCCACCAGCGCCTCTAGCCCTGATTCCTTCCCGCCCCTCTCTTGCGCCCCTTCTTCTCCGCTCCCCCCTTCTCCTGCCAAAAGATCTTCAACTAGTGCCGTCCAGCTCACCTGTAGGGCCAGCAGCGCTGGCTGCAAAGGCAGCTTCCCCAGCCACTCAAGGAACCTTCCTCTGTTCCTCCTGCTGCTACCGCCCAACCTCACTCCACTCCTCTTCACTCCTCCCACTGTCCCCTTCTTCCCGCTCCCTTTGCTCTTGTCCTTCGCAGCCCCAGCAGTCGACAGCCAATCACACGCCGCCAGCTCAGCGACCGCTGACACAACCAGGTCGCTCAGAGTGGTCCGCAGCGCCACGTCGAGATCCAGCAGCCACTTGGTGGCTCCTGCGGGCTTCTGTCCTTCCGCTGACGTGGCACCCGCTGACGTGGCATCCGCTGATGTGGCACCTGTTGACGTGGCACCTGCTGACGTGGAAGCACCCTCCGCAAGCTCCACTGGTTGGTGCAGCACAAGCCTCTCCCCGTCGGACAGTGCTGCCGTGATAAATACCCTCTTCCCTGCATCCCCTGAAGGTGCTACTATTTTCTCTCTGCTGTGATAAATACTCTCCTCTGGCGTAATGGTATCAGAGAATGCCGATACTTCAATGCCCGAGACTGCAGTGAAGAGCTTGCGAATGTGCACATGCACCTGCCATGGGGCCACGAGGCGGAAGGGGGAGAGAGAGGGAGAGAGGGGATGGGAGAGTGGCGGGAGGATGGGAAAGGGGCATGAGACTTCAGTGAAGAGCTTGCGAATGAGCACGTGCACCTGACATGGGAGAGAAAGAAGTAAGCATAATGGGCATGAGGGGAGGATGTTTGTATGGAAAGGGAGTGCTTTTGGAGGAAACACAGAGTCTCACACACACACACACACAAAACACACACACACACACACACACACACACACACACACACACACACACACACACACACGAAGAGACCATACCACCGAGAGATCTGAAGGTGATGCGGATATGAGATGCAGCAGATTGGCATTTATAACAAGGTACAGTCACTAACACCACTCGTCATACACATGAAACCCCACTCACAGCAGAGAGGTCTGATGGCGAAGCAGAGATGAGCTGCAGCAGAGAGATCATCATCTTCCAGGTGTAATGAGTCGAGTTTCGAGTCGACTCAAAACTCTGCAGCAGATCATCATCTTCCAGGTGTAATGAGTCGAGTTTTGAGTCGACTCAAAATTCTGCAGCAGATCATCATCTTCCAGGTGAAATGAGTCGAGTTTTGAGTCGACTCAAATCTCTGCAGCAGATCATCATCTTCCAGGTGTAATGAGTCGAGTTTTGAGTCGACTCAAAACTCTGCAGCAGATCATCATCTTCCAGGTGTAATGAGTCGAGTTTGGAGTCGACTCAAAACTCTGCAGCAGATCATCATCTTCCAGGTGTAATGAGTCGAGTTTTGAGTCGACTCAAAACTCTGCAGCAGATCATCATCTTCCAGGTGTAATGAGTCGAGTTTTGAGTCGACTCAAAACTGTGCAGCAGATCATCATCTTCCAGGTGTAATGAGTCGAGTTTTGAGTCGACTCAAAACTCTGCAGCAGATCATCATCTTCCAGGTGTAATGAGTCGAGTTTTGAGTCGACTCAAAACTCTGCAGCAGATCATCATCTTCCAGGTGTAATGAGTCGAGTTTTGAGTCGGCTCAAAACTCTGCAGCAGATCATCATCTTCCAGGTGTAATGAGTCGAGTTTTGAGTCGACTCAAAACTCTGCAGCAGATCATCGTCTCCCAGGAAGTACAGCCTCGGCAGCATTCGCCTCTGCTTGTCTTTTGAGTCGACTCAAAAGTGAAACCCCAAACTCATACTCACAGCAGATAAGTCTGAACGCGGAGCAGATATGAGCTGCAGCAGATCGTCATCCCCCAGGAAGTACAGCCTCGGCAGCATATGCCTCTGCTTGTCCAGATGCGGCGACTCGCACAATCACTTGACAAGTACACCAGATCACACACATATACACGTTCACATATTTTCGTGCCAACACTGGAACGTACCGCTGATAAATCATACGGCGAGGCAGAGATGAGCTGCAGCAGATCATCATCTCCCAGGAAGTACAGCCTCGGCAGCATCCGCCTCTGCTTGTCCAGATGCGCTTGAACCTCCAAAAGCACCCGCCCAAACACCTCCGCACAAACCGCCAAAACCCGCCGCCCGGCGCCGCCGTCCTCTTCTGCCAGACCCTCCAGGTCGATCGCAAGAGGGCGGGCGGCGAGCGATCCGAGGAACGTCGTGAACGGCAGGGAAGCTTCGTGGAAGGCACTGTGCGTGTCAGGTAGCATCGAGCGGACGGCGGGTGATGTCATCAATGCCTCTAAACGAACCCACTTGGATTGCGCGTCTGCTAGCGCATCCACCAGCTCACTCAGCCGCCCAAGCCGCCCCTCCCACTCCCTCACAGCCCCTCTAAACGGCGGGAAGAAGGGAGACTGCTTCATGGCCCCCAGCATACTCAAATGCTCTAACACCCTTTCCCCAACCACCCCTAAATTCCCCACAATCTTCCATTTGTCTCGGAACCCCTTGAACGCCCATTCCTGCTCGCCCCACTCCTTTTCAACCTTATCCATAAACTGCCTCAGTGCCACCTCCCCTTGGACGGCAGATAACACCTGCTCTGCCGCCGCCCGGCCCTCCAAGCCTCCCAGCGCCCGAACCAGATCCCGAACCTGCAGGGTACCTCCGGCGCCGAGCCCGCCCTTGGCTTGGAACCCCAAGGCTCGGGCGAGGGCCCTCCAATGGGCCTCTTGCAGCGAGGCTTTAACTAGCTTCGACACCAGACCTAGGCTCGCGATAAGTTTCCGGGCAGAGGACTGAACCGCCCGGAACGCGCCGTGCTGCCCGAAAGCTTCCTCCTCCTGGTTCACATCGCTCAAGGCGGAGTGCAGAGGGGTTAAATCCGATTCAGGGTTGAACTCTGCAACCCTAATTCCTTCGACAGATGCAATAACATCCAAAAGGTGATTAATCAACAGCCACATATGCTGCATCTCTTCCCCCCCTGCGATCACTCTCTCCAACCTCCCCACCACTCTCCCCACCTCCTCCTCCTCCTCCTCCTCCTCCTCCCCGCCCGCCCCTCCAACCAGCCCAATCGCTCTCCTCACAAGCTCTATCCTCGTTTTAAGCTGCCCCACTAAGCGTGCGCACTGCACCAGCGCGCCAGCAGCCCTGCCCCTGGAGCAATCCGCACTAGTAGGAGCAGCAGCGTCCCACCACGTCTCAATCTCCTCCATACACCTCCCCACCTCCCCCACATGCACCTGCACCGCACTTAACACCTCCACGCTCACAAGCCCCCGGAGGAAAACTACCCCGCTGGGAAATCCCCCTGCTGCTGCTTCTACTCCCTTTCCTGCTGCTTCTGCTGCTGCTACTCTCTCTCCCGAAACAGCCTTTCTTGCCCATTCCAACTCCCCCCACTCTTTCTCCAGCTCATTCCAGCTTCCCAGAACCAGCGCCGCCCCAACTCCTGCACTACTGCTTGTACCACCACTGCTGGATCTCTCTCTGCCGCTGCTACTGCTGCTACTGCTGCTGTTACTCTTTGTTCCACTGCCGCTACCTCCTCCTCCCCTAGAAATCGCCGCCTCTACCAGCGGATTGAGTTTCTCCACTCTCTCACTCACCTCCACTACCCTCCTCTCCGCCTCCCTCACTCTCTCTAGATGCTCTATCAACCTCCGCACATCCCCACTCAGCCCACCACTCTTATCAGCACCACCACTAACCATAGCTGCCTGTTCCTCCTCTCCCTCCTCTCCCTCCTCTCCCTCCACTCCCCCCTCTCCCTTCCTCGTTTGGCCTTTCTTCTGCTCCCTTTCTCTCTCCTTAACTTCCCCCTCCGCCTCCCTCTGAATCCCCTCCAATAGCTTCTTCAGCTCAAATACCTCTTTAATCGCCTCCCTACATCCCCGAACCGCCCGCCCTTCTATATCCTCCTCGGCCGCCCGTATCCAAGCCTCACACCGACCCACCAGTGCCTCTCTCACCGAGCCTGCGTCCAAGGCTAGTAGTGAGGTTCGGTCAGAAGCGCCGAACCTAACCACCGCAGGTTTGGCAGCCAGCTGGTTCCGAACCTGCTGGATTTCATCTATAAGAGATCGCCAGACATCAGTAGAAGAGGGCGGGAGGGAGGAGGTGGGACCTTCGCTAACCGCAGCAGCGGCAGCAGCAGCAGCACCAGCAGCAGCAGCTGCAACAGCACCCGAAGCAGAAGCAGCGGCCACAGCAGCAGCAGAAGCGGCACGGGCGCATCTCTCTAGCCTCCCCTCAGCCTGAGCCACAGCCACCCTCCACTCGCCCACCCATCCCTCAGCCGCCCCTACCAACCCATCCACCACCCCATACGCACACGCCTCCAGCCGAGCCGGGACCACACAGCTCACAGCTAACAGACTCCCAACACCAGACCCTCCCCTCGCTGTGCTGTGATAGCTACCCGCGCTGACGCTGCTGCTACTGCTGACGTTGCTGAGATTACCAGCGGCTGCGGTGGTGACATCAGCAGGCGGGAAAGCGGCAGAGGCAGGAAGCTGCAGAGCAGCAGAGGCAGAGGAGAGGACGCTATTTGCCTCGGCAGCAGCAGAGAGGGCAGGAGCGAGCAGCAGCTGAATGCAGTCATGCAGCCGTTGCTGCGACTCGGAGAGAGGAGGCTGTACCTCAACCTCCATCCTCCCGCCTGCTCCTGCTCCTGCCCCTGCGCCTGTGCCTACCCCTGCATCAGTAACCCCTGTCCCTGACTCAATTCTCCCCTTCACAGCCACTCGGTGCGTCAGCATCCCCACCTGCTCCTGCAGCAGCTGCAGCACAAACGACTCAGTCTCACTCCCACATTCCCCTTTCAAATCTCCTCCCACTACCCCTGTCGCCCCTGCCAGCCCTGCCGCCCCTGCTGCGTCTGCTCCTCCACCAGCTCGCTCCTCTCCTGCACCAAAGGGTCCGTGCATTGAGAGAACAGCCTCAATATCTCTCACCACCACTCCAAGACCTCCACACTCAGGAGCAGGGGCAGCACCAGCCGCAGGAATTGTAGCAACAGTAGATTCTCCTCCAATCACCTCCTTCCATTTCTTCAGCCAGCAGCAGAGCGCTGACGTCAGCTTCTGCTGCAGCACCGCCTGTGCTTGCATCAGCAGCGGGGCTGCCCACGTGGCAGCCACCTCACGCTGCCACTCTGCTGACATGGCAGCTGACGTGGCAGCCGGGTACGGTGGCCGGGAGATCGCTGCGATCACCGCATGCGCCAGCTGGCGCAGATGAGTTGGCAAGTCCTGATTCGGTGAGGGAGGATGGTAGAAGAAAAGAGAAGATGGAAAAAAAAAAAAAAAAAAAAAAAAAAAAAAGATTCCACGCTTTGTGCTGTTAGACAAAGCTATGTAGAACAATCTCATGGTTTCGGCAAGTAAATGCAGCGCCATGCCTCCTCCTTGGCCGCAGCAGCAGCAGTACCAGAGCAGGCTTAGAGGCTCTCACCTTGTAGACTTAGCTGCTGTAAGCTCTCACCTTGTAGACTTAGCTGCTGTAAGCTCTCACCTTGTAGACTTAGCTGCTGTAAGCTCTCACCTTGTAGACTTAGCTGCTGTAAGCTCTCACCTTGTAAGCACACGATCTGACACGCTCAAGGCACTGCCATGCAGCGTCGTGCCTCTCCTTGGCCGCAGCAGCAGCGGCTGAAAACGCCTCCACGGCATCCCACAGGCACACACCTGGTAGGCACACACCGGCACTCCAGTCACCGGCTCTCACCTTGTAGGCACACGATTGAACGCGCTGCAGGCACTGCCATGCCGCCTCGTGCCTCTCCTTGGCCGCAGCAGCAGCAGCTGAAAATGCCTCCACAGCATCCCACAGGCACACTGCAAACTCGTCCACCTCGTCCTCCTCCTCCCACACCACGCCCTGGCCTGCAATTGGGGGTGTTTGGGAAGGGCGAGCCGGTAAAAATAACTGACACAACACTCCCTCCACTGCATCCCACAGGCACATGGCGAACTCGTCCACGTCGTCCTCCTCCTCCCACACCACGCCCTGGCCTGCAGTGTCGGGGGCGCAGTGGGAGAAGCGAGGGACACAGGAGGTGAAGTCGGGGGACAAAGGAGTGGTTAAGATGGGCGACTTAATCCGACCCACAGAGCCCCGTTCCATCCCACGTTGACTTTTGAGTCGACTCAAAAGGAGTGGTTAAGATGGGCGACTGAATCAGGGCTGAGCCCCGTTCCATCCCACAGGCACATGGCGAAATCGTCCACGTCGTCCTCCTCCTCCCACACCACGCCCTGGCCTGCATTGCGGGCAGTGGGGGAAGCAAGTGAGGGACACAGGAGGAAAGGTCGGTGGGGAAAGAGAATGCGGTGTGCAAGGAGTGAGCTGAGTAGCTGCCGCAGCACACACACACACACACCTCTATGGCATCCCACAGGCACACCGCGAACGTGTAATTAGGTTATTTCTGAGACGTCTCAAAAATAACTGCAGCACACACACACACACACACACACACACACACACACACACACACACACACACACACACACACACACACACACACACACACACACACCTCTATGGCATCCCACAGGCACACCGCGAGCGAACTCATACTTTTTGCTTCCTTACTAAATATCTTCTCCCAACCCCACCCCACCCCTCAGTGAGACCCCTTACCGCTCTACATTATCCCCAACCTCTCCCTACCTCTTAAGACGATCCCATTACCGCTCTATAATGTCCCCGAACCCCCCTTACCGCTCTGCATGAGCCCCAGCACAGCTTCTCGCGACACTGCCACCAGCAGCAGCACAGCCTTGTGGACAAATCCGTGCAGAATGTCAACAACAACCAGCCATGCATGAACCCCATATCGCTCTCCCTCATCCTCAACACACTCACCCTCTGCATTTTTGAGAATTCTCATAAGTGGTCTCAACATATCGCTCTCCCTTATCCTCAACACCGCTCTGCATTATCCCCAGCACCGCCTCCCTTGACGCCGCCACCAGCGGCAGCACGGCCTTGCTTCCTGAGTCCTGACTGCATTACCCACTCACCAGGCTGCAGCAGTACCCCCATTGCTGCTTCCTGAGTCCTGACTGCATTACCCACTCACCAGGCTGCAGCAGTACCCCCATTGCCGCTTCCTGAGTCCTGACTGCATTACCCACTCACCAGACTGCAGCAGTACCCCCATCGCTGCTTCCTTACCCGCGTGCTGACTCACCACTCGGCAGTGTCACCAACCCCCACTCACCACTCGGCAGTGTCACCAACCCCCACTTACCACTCGGCAGTGTCACCAACCCCCACTTACCACTCGGCAGTGTCACCAACCCCCACTTACCACTCGGCAGTGTCACCAACCCCCACTTACCACTCGGCATGATGCCCCGCACGGCTTCCCTTGACGCCGCCACCACCAGCAGCAGCACGCCCTAGATGACAAACCCAAATATGACTTTTGAGGCGCCTCAACAATGTCAGCAACGAGCTTCCTCCCAAGCATGTACCCCTCTTACCACTCCCCCTTATCCCCAACCTTAACTCACCGCTCTGCATTATCCCCAGCACCGCTTCCCTTGACGCTGCCACCACCAGCAGCAGCACGCCCTAGCTTCCTGACTGCATTACCCACTCACCAGACTGCAGCAGTACCCCCATCACTGCTTCCTTACCCGAGTGCACACTCACCACTCAGCATTATCACCAACCGCCACTCACCACTCAGCATTATCACCAACCGCCACTCACCACTCAGCATTATCACCAACCGCCACTCACCACTCAGCATTATCACCAACCGCCACTCACCACTCAGCATTATCACCAACCGCCACTCACCACTCAGCATTATCACCAACCGCCACTCACCACTCAGCATTATCACCAACCGCCACTCACCACTCAGCATTATCACCAACCGCCACTCACCACTCAGCATTATCACCAACCGCCACTCACCGCTCTGCATTATCACCAACCGCCACTAACCACTCAGCATTATCACCAACCGCCACTCACCGCTCAGCATTATCACCAACCGCCACTCACCGCTCTGCATTATCACCAACCGCCACTCACCACTCAGCATTATCACCAACCGCCACTCACCGCTCTGCATTATCACCAACCGCCACTCACCGCTCTGCATTATCACCAACCGCCACTCACCGCTCTGCATGATCCCCAGCACGGCTTCCCTTGACGCCGCCACCAGCGGCAGCACGCCCTCGCTGACGCCAGCGCTGACGTCAGCAAAGCTCTCGAGCGCTCTTGAGATGGTGGAGGCGGAGGACGCGGCAGCAGAGGCGGAGAGGGCGGAGGCGAGCAGGTGGTGGGGGATGTGGAAGCCGGATGCTCTTAGCAAACGCACTTCTTCACTTAGATGGAGGAGGCTTGTCTTGTACTGCACCTGAAGAAGATAGACAGGCAGAGGAGCAGTGGGGGAGAGGGGTGGAGGGATAGAGCGGCAGTAGTTCAGGTAAGGGGAGAGGCGGAGAGGGCGCAGGCGAGCAGGTGGTGGGGGATGTGGAAGCCTGAGGCTCTTAGCAATCGCACCTCCTCACTCAAGTGAAGGAGGCTCGTCTTGTGCTCCACTTGAGGAAGGAATTATAGGGAGGGGGAGAAGGGAAGAGGGGAAAAGGGCAGAGGGGAAAAGGGCAGAGGGGAAAAGGGTGGAGGGGAAAAGGGCAGAGGGGAAAAGGGTGGAGGGGAAAAGGGCGAGGGGTTAAGTCAAGGGGAGCTCTTGAGATGGTGGAGGCGGAGGAGGCGGCAGCAGAGGCGGAGAGGGCGCAGGCGAGCAGGTGGTGGGGGATGTGGAAGCCAGCCGCCCTCAGAGAACGGACTTCCTTGCTCAGATGGAGGAGGCTTGCCCATCAACTCGCATTCCCCGCATCCCTTCCCTTCCCACTGATTTTCCACTTTTGAGGTGCCTAAAACAAAAACTCACGGCCCCTCCTTTCCCCCTCTCCGTTTCCCTTTTCCCATTTCCCCCGCCTACCCCCTTGAGGCCAAAAACCAAAGCCCCCCATCACTCAACCTCACCTGCTCGTCTGCTCACCTGCTCCATCTGCTCCTCCTCCCCGTGAACACAACATCTTAGCCTGCTTTCCCCATCCAACCGGTTTCCCACACTTCAATTTCTAGCCGTCACCACTTTCTCTTCCTCGCCTGCAGATCTTTGGACATCTTCCAGTGAGCAGCAGCGCTTCGGACATCTTCCTCACCTGGAAGATGTCCGAAGATCTTCTAGCCATCATCACTTTCTCTTCCTTTCCTGCAGCTGTAGCAGCGATCTGCCTGCTTTCACCATCCCCTCCCCTTTCCTCCCCTCATCCAACTCTCACGCTCGCTGGATTTCCAACTCTAACCCACCCCTCACCCCACCTCTCCTCATCGCACCTGCAGCTGTAGCAGCGGCTCCCCCGCTTGCTCCTCCTCCCCAGCTGTAGCCGCGCTATTGTTGCTGACGTCAGCCAGGGGCAGGCGGGACGAGCAGGGGGCGAGCACAGGGCCTCTCAGGGCCTCCTCTGCCTCCTCCGCACTCATGCTACTGCTGCTGTTGCCAGCAGTGGGAGCGAGCTTTTCTTGCAGCCACTGGTTGACGGTCTGGAATGGAGAGTGGGTGGATGGATGGACGGGTGGATGGGAGACTCTTGTTGGAAAGGCGGGACGAGCAGGGAGGGGCGAGCACAGGACCCCTCAGGGCCTCCTCTGCCTCCTCCGCACTCATGCTACCGCTGCTGTTGCCAGCAGTGAGAGCGAGCTTTTCTTGCAGCCACTGATTCACAGTCTGCAAGGGAGAGTGGATGGGTGGATGGATGGGGGAGAGTGAGGGACACTGGTTAAGGGCGGGCGGGACGAGCAAGGGGCAAGCACACAGGGCCCCTCAGAGCCTCCTCCGCATTCATGCTGCTGCTGCTGTTGCCAGTGTTGCTGATTGGAGCGAGCTCTTTTTGCAGCCACTGGTTGACGGTCTGGAAGGGAGAGTGGATGGGTGGATGGATGTGGGAGGGTGGGAGACACACGTTGGAAAAGGGGGACGAGCAAGGGGCGAGCACAGGGGCCCCTCAGAGCCTCCTCCGCATTCGTGCTGCTGCTGCTGTTGTCGGTGGTGGTGGTGGGAGAGAGATTTTGTTGAATGCATTGGTTGACGGTCTGAAAGGAAGAGTGGATGGATAAATGGGAGAAAAGAGAGGGAGACACTCAATAGGAGCAGGCGGGATGAGCGGGGGACACTCAATAAGAGAACAGGGCCTCTTGTAGCCTCCTCTGCCTCCTTTGCACTCATTCTTCTGCACATGCAGGGATTTTTTTAGAATTCTAAAAAAATCCCTGAGAATTCTAAAAAATCCCTCATTCTTCTGCACATGGTGGGGTTGGTGTTGTCAGTAGTGGGAGATATCTCTTCACACACAAACACACACCTTCTGAGGGTCTGTGTGCTCCAATGCCTCCTCCAACAGCCGAGCAATCGACCTCCGCAGCCCACCATCTGTCACCGCTCCCCACCCAGCCCCACCACAATCAACCCCCACCTCTCCATCTCCACCCATCCCCACCGCTCCCCCCACCCCTCTCCCCCTCCTGCTGCTTCCCCTTCCCGCCCGGCCAATCCCGCTGCGCCAGCTGTCACCCAGCAGAGCGTGCAGAGCTGCGTCTAGAGATCTCAGCTTTCCGTGAATGGCTTTGGCGCGGGCCACTGAGGCGGCAACACGTGGCACACCCCTGAGCTGGGCGAGAGAGGACACGTGGCAGGCTGCTGTTGGGTGCCATAGCTGCTCCTCCAGTGCTCGCACGTCTGGCCAAGGACGGGGAGTGGGGAGGGGGCGGCGGATGGGGAGGGGGAGATGGAGAAGGGGATGGGAAGGGGGAGATGGAGAAGGGGATGGGAAGGGGGAGATGGAGAAGGGGATGGGAAGGGGGAGATGGAGAAGGGGATGGGAAGGGGGAGATGGAGAAGGGGATGGGGAAGGGGAATGGGGAGCCCGGGTGGGAAGGGAATGGGGAGGGGGAATGGGGAGGGGGAGAGGAAAGGGAGGATGGGGAATGGGGAACAGGGAGGTGGGGAGGTGAAGGAGGTGAACAGGGACAGGCGAACGGACGAGGAAGGGGGGTGAGAAATGGATGGGGGAGGAAGGAAGAAACGGAAGGGGGGCGGTGGAAGGGTGGTGAGGGCAGAGGGAAGCAGCACATTCAACTATGAACCTTGATCCTTGGGCTATTGGTTGCAGATAGAACGTGCATTTTGAGAACTCTTAAAAGGGTTGCGCCTCTTACTTCATGGCAAGACTACATTAAATTGACACCTCTAACACCATTCTTTCAGAAAGCAGCACCTATCGTACAGCATCTGCTTCGCACCTATCATACTCCTCAACTAGTGGCATTCAAAAGCTTCACACGCCCCTCTCACCTGTGCATGAAGATTTGTTTGGAGACGTCTCAAAACGAATCTTCATACACGCAACTAGTGGCATTCAAAAGCTTCACACGCCCCTCTCACCTGTGTATGAAGATTTGTTTTGAGACGTCTCAAAACAAATCTTCATACACGCAACTAGTGGCATTCAAAAGCTTCACACGCCCCTCTCACCTGTGCATGAAGATTTGTTTGGAGACGTCTCAAAACGAATCTTCATACACGCAACTAGTGGCATTCAAAAGCTTCACACGCCCCTCTCACCTGTGTATGAAGATTTGTTTTGAGACGTCTCAAAACAAATCTTCATACACGCAACTAGTGGCATTCAAAAGCTTCACACGCCCCTCTCACCTGTGCATGAAGATTTGTTTTGAGACGTCTCAAAACAAATCTTCATACACGCAACTAGTGGCATTCAAAAGCTTCACACGCCCCTCTCACCTGTGCATGAAGATTTGTTTTGAGACGTCTCAAAACAAATCTTCATACACGCAACTAGTGGCATTCAAAAGCTTCACACGCCCCTCTCACCTGTGTATAAAGATTTGTTTGGAGACGTCTCAAAACGAATCTTCATACACGCAACTAGTGGCATTCAAAAGCTTCACACGCCCCTCTCACCTGTGCATGAAGATTTGTTTTGAGACGTCTCAAAACAAATCTTCATACACGCAACTAGTGGCATTCAAAAGCTTCACACGCCCCTCTCACCTGTGGCCACCTCGTGCAGCATTTGCTGCAAGTCGTGCTGGAGACGCGCTGACACCTGCCGTGGTGGTGGGGAGGAGGGAGGAGGGGGGAGGACGGGGAGGGAGTCAAAGCAAAGGAAAAAGCGGAAGGACTTTATGAACAACTGAGAGCAATCATCCTTGAAAGTTTTTTTTAGGCGCCTCAAAAGTGGGAGGACTGTACAAACAATTGAGAGAAAACATCCCTGAAAGTTGAAGTAAACAAACAACCCTCTTTGGGCAAGTAAGAGGGCTCCTTGTGGAGGGAACAGTCGATTGAGTTGGCTCAAGACCCACACACAATACAAGCCGTGCTTTGAGTCGACTTAAAACACGGCTCAAAACACGGCTCAAAACACGGCTTAAAACACGGCTTAAAACACGGCTCAAAACACAGTCGATTGAGTCAGCTCAAGACCCACACACAATACAAGCCTACTGAAATCGTACCCTTGGCAGCGCAGTAAAAGACGAACACTGTGCCAGCAGCTGCAGCTGCCCCATGGCCGATGGCACCTCCCCCAGTCGAGCCTGCAGCAGCCCCGCCAGCGCCTCCTCCTCCTGAGCCACTGCCGCCCAGTAGATGCCCTGCGCCGCCCGCCAGCTGGCAAGGTCGCCTGTAGGGCGGGGAGGAAGGGGAGTGGGACGAAAGAGAGGGTGGGGTGTGGGGGGTAGGACGCTGATGCCCTGCCTCCTCCTCCTCCCGGGCCACTGCCGCCCAGTAGATGCCCTGCGCCGCCCGCCAGCTGGCAAGGACGCCTGTGGGGACGGGGAGAGAGGGGGGAAGGAGGGTGGGGGAAGTGGGTGGGGGATGGGAGGGTGGGGGAAGTGGGTGGGGGATGTTGAGAGGGATCGGGTGAGGTAGAGAGCAAGGGGAGGGAGGGCCCACACCGAAATAGGCTCACAGGCTATCACGAGGGCTGGGAGGAGGATATCAGCAGTAAGAGCTCTATGTTCCGCACCTTCGAGAGCTGGGAGGAGGCTTTCACAGGCTTTCACAGTCTTCACGAGGGCAGGGAGGAGGCTTTAACAGGCTTTCACAGGCTATTAGCAGTAAAAGCTCAATGTTCCACACCTTCGAGAATGTCTGCCACGTGGCTGTCTGTGAGTGGCTCCAGGAAGCGCCTCCACCTGTCCACGTCAGCCGCGCCAGTGTTGCTGCTGCCTGAGGAGGAAGCTTCCACATCGCACACCAGCGCAGCTGCTGCCATCGCGTCCTCCCACCCCTCATGCTGCAGGGAGGGATAATGTGAGGTTACGAGACACATAGAATAATCAAGAGGAAAACACAATACTGATAGTGGCAAAGCACTGCAGCTGTGCGAACAACCGTCCACAGAGCACACCAGCGCAGCTGCTGCCATCGCCTCCTCCCACCCCTTGTGCTGCAGGGACGGGGACAGAGAAGAGATGGAAGAGAGGGCATGAAGATACTGATAGTGGTGACAGTTCTAACTGCACTGCACTGCACCGCACTGCACTGCACTGCACTGCACTTGACCGCACTGCGCTGCACTGCCAACCAGGGGATAGTTAACGCCACTCGAACCGAATTCAGCAGCGCCTGCTCCTCCACTATCACCTGCCACTCAAAGAACCTACCCTGCCGCCCAAAGAACCTTCCCTGCCACTCAAAGAACCTACCCTGCCGCCCAAAGAACCTACCCTGCCACTCAAAGAACCTACCCTGCCGCCCAAAGAACCTACCCTGCCGCCCAAAGAAGCTACCCTGCCGCCCAAAAAACCTACTCTGCCGCCCAAAGAACCTACCCTGCCGCCCAAAGAACCTACCCTGCCGCCCGGACATCTAACCTGCTGCCGAATGTCAATCGCTTGGTCCAAGAAAGCACACGCAGACGCCATTGCCACGTCAGCAGGGACCACCACGTGGTCCTGGCCAAAGAGCTGAGCTGGCGATACTGGCTGCCAGGTCATGCGGCCGTGCGCTGACGTCATCTGCATCGCTGACGTCAGCTGGGAGCGGCAGACGACGCTGACTAAGCGCGAGTGCAGCCGTGCCAGCTCATGCCGCCACACGTCCAGCACATCACGGGCCTCCCTTAAATCCTGGCAGGGGATTGGCCAGCAGGGAGCGAAAGTGTATTGGTGGGAGAGAAAGGGGTTGGAAGAGAGGGAGGGAGGCGAGGGATGCAGGGAGTGATAAAAGCAGGGATCAATAATGAATGAGTAAGCTACTCACACACGGTGAGCTGCAATTACTCACACACAGAGAGGGGCCCTCTAGCCCAAATACTCACACACAGAGAGGGGCCCTCTAGCCCAAATACTCACACACAGAGAGGGGCCCTCTAGCCCAATTACTCACACACAGAGAGGGGACCTCTAGCCCAATTACTCACACACAGAGAGGGGCCCTCTAGCCCAAATACTCACACACAGAGAGGGGACCTCTAGCCCAATTACTCACACACAGAGAGGGGCCCTCTAGCCCAAATACTCACACACAGAGAGGGGCCCTCTAGCCCAAATACTCACACACAGAGAGGGGCCCTCTAGCCCAAATACTCACACACAGAGAGGGGCCCTCTAGCCCAAATACTCACACACAGAGAGGGGCCCTCTAACCCAAATACTCACACACAGAGAGGGGCCCTCTAGCCCAAATACTCACACACAGAGAGGGACCCTCTAGCCCAAATACACACACACAGAGAGGGGCCCTCTAGCCCAAATACTCACACACAGAGAGGGGCCCTCTAGCCCAAATACTCACACACAGAGAGGGGCCCTCTAGCCCAATTACTCACACACAGAGAGGGGACCTCTAGCCCAATTACTCACACACAGAGAGGGGCCCTCTAGCCCAATTACTCACACACAGAGAGGGGCCCTCTAGCCCAAATACTCACACACAGAGAGGGACCCTCTAGCCCAAATACTCACACACAGAGAGGGGCCCTCTAACCCAAATACTCACACACAGAGAGGGGCCCTCTAGCCCAAATACTCACACACAGAGAGAGGCCCTCTAGCCCAAATACACACACACAGAGAGGGGCCCTCTAGCCCAAATACTCACACACAGAGAGGGGCCCTCTAGCCCAATTACTCACACACAGAGAGGGGACCTCTAGCCCAATTACTCACACACAGAGAGGGGCCCTCTAGCCCAAATACTCACACACAGAGAGGGGACCTCTAGCCCAATTACTCACACACAGAGAGGGGCCCTCTAGCCCAAATACTCACACACAGAGAGGGACCCTCTAGCCCAAATACTCACACACAGAGAGGGGCCCTCTAGCCCAAATACTCACACACAGAGAGGGGCCCTCTAGCCCAAATACTCACACACAGAGAGGGGCCCTCTAGCCCAATTACTCACACACAGAGAGGGGCCCTCTAGCCCAAATACTCACACACAGAGAGGGGCCCTCTAGCCCAATTACTCACACACAGAGAGGGGACCTCTAGCCCAATTACTCACACACAGAGAGGGGCCCTCTAGCCCAAATACTCACACACAGAGAGGGGCCCTCTAGCCCAAATACTCACACACAGAGAGGGGCCCTCTAGCCCAAATACTCACACACAGAGAGGGGCCCTCTAACCCAAATACTCACACACAGAGAGGGGCCCTCTAGCCCAAATACTCACACACAGAGAGAGGCCCTCTAGCCCAAATACACACACACAGAGAGGGGCCCTCTAGCCCAAATACTCACACACAGAGAGGGGCCCTCTAGCCCAAATACTCACACACAGAGAGGGACCCTCTAGCCCAAATACTCACACACAGAGAGGGGCCCTCTAGCCCAAATACTCACACACAGAGAGGGGACCTCTAGCCCAATTACTCACACACAGAGAGGGGCCCTCTAGCCCAAATACTCACACACAGAGAGGGGCCCTCTAGCCCAAATACTCACACACAGAGAGGGGCCCTCTAGCCCAAATACTCACACACAGAGAGGGGCCCTCTAGCCCAAATACTCACACACAGAGAGGGGCCCTCTAGCCCAAATACTCACACACACAGAGAGGCCCTCTAGCCCAAATACTCACACACAGAGAGGGGCCCTCTAGCCCAAATACTCACACACAGAGAGGGGCCCTCTAGCCCAAATACTCACACACAGAGAGGGGCCCTCTAGCCCAAATACTCACACACAGAGAGGGGCCCTCTAGCTCAAATACTCACACACACAGAGGGGCCCTCTAGCCCAAATACTCACACACAGAGAGAGGACCTCTAGCCCAAATACTCACACACAGAGAGGGGCCCTCTAGCCCAAATACTCACACACAGAGAGAGGCCCTCTAGCCCAAATACTCACACATAGAGAGGGGCCCTCTAGCCCAAATACTCACACACAGAGAGGGGCCCTCTAGCCCAAATACTCACACACAGAGAGGGACCCTCTAGCCCAAATACTCACACACAGAGAGGGGCCCTCTAGCCCAAATACTCACACACAGAGAGGGACCCTCTAGCCCAAATACTCACACACAGAGAGGGGCCCTCTAGCCCCAATACTCACACACAGAGAGGGACCCTCTAGACCAAATACTCACACACAGAGAGGGGCCCTCTAGCCCCAATACTCACAGCTAGAGCAGCCTTGGGCGGCTGCAGCAGCACGTGCCCACCAAATACACCTGCACCAGTTGCCACCTTCCTCCCACAGAGAAGAGCAAGTAGATACTTACAGTCAGAGCAGCCTTGGGCGGCTGCAGCAGCACGTGCCCACCAGATGCACCTGCACCAGTTGCCACCTCCCCCACCCCTCCCTTCTTCCCCTTCCTCCCCTCCACAGCGACAGTTAGCCAGCTCCTAAGTGCCGCTGCTGCTGCTCCCACCGCCCCTCCCACGGCCAGCACCAGTGGGTCTTCCCACTCGTCCTGCTCCTCCTCCCCGCCTGTAGCGCCTGTGGCGGCTGTAGCAGCTGTGGCGGCTGTAGCGGCTGTGGCAGCAGGGGCAGTTGTGGCGGCTGTAGCGGGAAGCCTATGGAGTGTGAGGCCTTGAGTAGCGATGACTCTGGACGAGGCAGGGGCAAGGGAGTGAGAGGGGGAAAGGGAATGGGAGGGGGGAAAGGGAGTGGGAGGGGGAAAGGGAGTGGGAGGGGAAAGGGAATGGGAGGGGGAAAGGAAGCGAGAGGGGGAAAGGGAATGGGAGGGGGAAAGGGAATAGGAGGGGGGAAAGCAGCAGCAGGGAAGCAGCAGCAGCAGCAGCACTCATACTCACTCCATGAGTTGCTGGATAGCCACCCTAACCGCCTCCTCGCTCCCCCGCCCAGCCGCCCCACACGTGGACTCGAACGCCCTCGCCTGCTGCGCCATCGCCTCTGCTGCTGCCACTGCAGGATGGAGGTGGGGTGGTGTGGATGAGAGATCGGTTGAAGTGAGTCCATAAGTCACGTGTAATGAGGTTATTTTTGAGACGTCTCAAACATTACACGTGGGGTGGTGTGGATGAGAGATCGGTTGAAGTGAGTCCATAGTTAAGACGAACTTCCTGCTGTTTCTTTCTAATAAAATCGGACTCCATTAGAGAGGGGAGAAAGGGGAAAGGAGAAACTGATGGGGGCCAAGGAACACATTGAAGAGATGTCTTACCCCTCTTCCTTGCATTCCCTTGCAGCTGTCGCACTGCACCTAAGGCACACGCGCCTGCAGTCACAGTAACGCCCTCCTGCTGCGCTTCACCCCCCGCTATAGCCACATCCTCTGCCGCCTCCACTGCTGCGCTAACACCCCGCCAAAAATATGCTACAGCTGACGCCGGTGCCACGTCAGCTGCAGCTGATGCTGGCGCCACGTCGGATCCCAGCCTGCTGTGGAAGTGGGTTGCGCGCTGCACCCACTGCTGCAGCACCTGGGAATGGTCCGGAGCCGCCTGGAGGAACACGAAGTGGACACACATAGTCACACCGCATACAATCACACCATCATACAGTCAGCACCTGGGATTGGTCCGGAGCCGCCTGGAAATGAAAAGGCACGAGTTGGACACACAAACGATCATATCAGCACGTCACATACACTCTGAGAGTTATCTGGAGCCGCCTGGGAAAAACACGAATTGGACACACATAGTCACACCGCATACAATCACACCATGATGAGCAGTCAGTTACCATTAATCGGCAATCACATTACCAAAAACAGTCACAGCAACAAACGATCCCAATGAAGCACGCCAGACCACAGCAACCACGAACGCACAGGGCATGCACTTCCAAAACACACCTTTAAATCTCATGTTGTAACAATATCATAAGATAAGCCAACCATTGTTACCTGATAAGGTGTACCAAACGAGCCAGAAGGCTCGCTGAAAGCAGCCAAGGATACTCCAGCTCCCGAAACCCAGGCGATCACACGAAGAGGATCGCCCATAGCAGCTGCTGCTGATAGCTGACCACCGCGTTTCTCCTTCCGCCTTTGGAGTTCCTTCTGCCGCCTCACCCGCCGTTCCTCCTCTCTCTGCCTCTGCTCCTCTCTCACTCTCTCCCTCTCCTTCTCCCTCTCCCTCTCCCGCTCCTTCTCCCCCTCTCCCATCCTCCGCCGCTCCTTCTCTCGCTCCTCAGCCCTCTCCTTCTCCCTTTCCCTTTCCTCTGCGATTCGCGCCTGCCTCTGCCGGTCCATCTCCCGCTCAATCTCTCTCAACCGCTCTCGCTCCCTCTGTCTCACTTTCACCAGCTCCTCTTGCCTCTCCTTCTCCCTCCGCTCCTCCAATTCCCTCTCCAATCTCTCCCGCCGTTCCCTCTCCTCCCTCTCCACCTTCTCCCTCTCAAACCTCTCCCTCTCCCTCCTCTCCCTCTCCTTCCTTTCCTTCTCTATCTTTTCCCGTTCAGCCTTCTCCTTCTCCTTCCGTTTCCTCTCTTCTCTCTCCCTCTCAACCCTCTCTTCTCTCTCCCTCTCAACCCTCTCTTCTCTCTCCCTCTCAACCCTCTCTTCTCTCTCCCTCTCAACCCTCTCTTTCTCCTCTCGTTCACGCCTAGCCTTCTCTTCCTGAACTCTTCTCTCCTTCTCCTTCCTCTCCTTCTCCCTCTCTTCCTTAAGCAACCTCTCCCTCTCTTCCCTCTCTTCCCTCTCCGCCCTTTCCATCTCCTCCCTCTCTCGCGCTACCGCCATCTCTCTTTCTATCTCCCTCTCTCTCTCCCTCTCAATCTCCCTCCGCCGCTCCTCCTCTGCCGCTTCCTCCCCGTCCCCCATGTGCGCAACCCCTTCCCGACCTCCCCCAACGGCTCTCCTTTCCGAACCTTTCCTCTCCGAGCCTCTCATCTCTTTCACCCGAAGCTGCGACTCCACCCTTCCGAAGCTGAGCCTCCTGTCCGGCCCGTCGGTAACTGCGGAGAAGCTTCCGATCGCGCGTTCCTCCGTTTGGATATGGCCCCGCGGCTGCTGTGCCGCCGAATGCGGCGGCGTTGGCTGCGGTTCCTGCTGCCGGTGGTTTTGCAATGAGAGGGATTTGAAGCCGAACCTACCACCAGCCTGCTGCGGCTGCTGCTGCTGCTCCTGCTGCTGCTGCTGCTGGTGGTGGTGCTGCTGCTGCTGCATCGAATCCTGCTGCCGCTGGCCGTGTTGCTCCTGCCCAGGGTTCGATCTCCTTTCCGGCTTGACGTCAGCAGCTAACGAGGCCGCCTGCTCGCCAGCTGTTACCAAGGATAACGAGAAACATCATTCACACGAAACAGATGTTACAAAGTTACAAAGTTACGCAATAGTCGGATTATGCTTAGCATAGAGGCAAAAAACAAACAAAAGGCGCCGCATGCAAGACCTATACTTTCGAAAGAGGTATAGCGAAGATGCCACAGTTGTATATTATATGGTATTTTCCCATCATGCTTATAAAATACACCTTAACGTACCATGATTACTCGGACGCAGGACTCCTGTCGCTTTCGCTCCACCATTGTAGTGGATCCTACTAGCACTCGCGGCGTCAATCGCGCTACTCCTTCCCGGAGTTTCCGTCCCGAACCTGCTTCCGGCATCCGAGCTTGCTGAGCTGGTCCGGCTTAGCTCTCCAGTTTCCTCCGAGCCGTGACCCGAGCCTGACCTACGCGGCAGGTTCGACGGAAGGCGCGACGAAGGTGTCCACGAGGTTCGGAGACTGGTGACCGTTCCTGGAGGTTTGAGGCCCGGCCTGGGTGACACTGGAATACCAGAGTCTCCCTCCTTACCTGGTCCATTTTCCTTCGCTATAAGCACTTCCGATGCTCGTTGCGGTGACTGGAATAGTAACTTTTGCTTAACTACAGGACTAGGGATTGCTGAACCGAGACTACCACCAATCGACGACGATCGCGGCGCGGTTGACGGTTCGGCGATTCCATGCCTTTCTGCTCGTTGGTCCGCCATAGCTGACGGATCTCCAGCTTTCGTCATTCTGTTACAGGAACGTCCCTCATCTATATAAACTAGCGTATAACTATTACGGTCGTCGCTACTGTCTGTATGATTGTTCTAGTTCTCTCACGATTCACGTCCGCCAGAATTCGAAGCCTGATGTGCATATGAGTTGAAGAATCGAGAACCACGGAAGCTAACTCTGGCTTGGTGATGGCCTGGCGTGGTCACGCAACCCTCTGTGTCTCCATCCCTCCAGTCAAGCACAAAACGGAGCCATTACAGTACTAGTAGCAGATCGGAGGATGGCTATGAGTTTGTATGTCAGAAAATCCTGGTGGGAACTTGGCCCGCGGACGGACCAGTGCGGTTCCGTATGTTACCACACGGTAAACAACGGTTTTGTTTTCAACCACTTTCAACCAGACGAGACCATACCGAACCGTGGTTTGTGAAATCAAAATGTGTAACACCCCCTTCTGGATTACCTGTCGCCCATCACCATCCAGCATCCACCCAACCATCAAAACATTTTCGAGCTCCATGCTCAGCACCATCACCAAGACTTCCAGATTCGCCAGGTCAAAATCGCTGGGCGGGAAGTCATGTGTCGCTCTGTGATTTGCCATCAACAAAACAAGCGAGGCTTGGCTAAAGGAGAACTGGTTTGAGGTTTTTTACCGCCAACTTGTGTGCCTCGGTTCAGGACTTGCAGGTTTGTCTCCGGCCTGGACCACCTGACTGTGACGATTGATTGGGTACTCGCAATTGTGTCAGACCAGCTGACCAGCTGACGAAGCGCTATTCCCAGGGGTATCAGAAGGAAAACACGACACGACACTCACGAACCAGATAATTGTACAACTCATTTCAGACTATTCTTTATATCATACCAAAGTACCTCTGTATCGAAAATAAACAGCACAGCAACCTTTTTGGCAGCCACGTGTGGCGCGTCTCGCTCAAAGCAGGTCAAGCATGCGACTGGTCGCGAAACTGCAACAGCGAACGACGTAACGTTACGGCACAAAATACCTGTCTTAGGCGGCGCGATGCCTCGTCAGCCGTGATAATCGAACGGCTGATACTCGCTTATCGTACCGTCGACAGCCATCGTCTTGATTGCCGAGACGCTCAGCAAGGTTTGCTGCTCCCCTGAGTGAACCCTAGTTTTCCACAAATAGTCCAGTGCGGTTCAGTGCGTTTCCACGCACTAGACAATGGGTCTGCAAGGTTACCTATCTGGAAGGCAATGCAACCGACAAAACTGCTTTGTATGTGATTCACTCGACTTGGGTACATATGTCGATCACAAAACAATTGCTTTCGGGTGCCTGGAAATTGGAATACGACTTATGTATCTCCCTGCTTCCGCAGCTGCTGTAAGGCCGCTATTGCCATAGCCCATTCAATCACTTCGCAGTTTGTTCCTCGTACACTCTTGCACCACACGCAAGTCCCACCATTTTAGGACGCGGCCACGGCGCGTACTGGCGTTCCGTGCTTTTGAAAGGGACGCGATTTTCGTATGTTTCTCGACAGCGTTTTCAGTAATCTCCGAGCAACCGCTCCTGCTATACTAACGAAAGGCACGCCAATGGTCATTCTCACACGCCGTGATAGTAATGTGCACGCGACGAGATAGAAGTACTTGTCCAGGGTACTCTTATGCAAGCGACTTGTAGACTAGCGTCAAGAAGCGACCCTTCATCTGCACCGCTCAACTCGAGGCATGATTTGTCAGTCTTAACTCGCCGCCGCGTGCGGCCAGCCATGGGCTGAGTACCAAAAGTAGACGAGGTTGAGTACACGAGGCATTATTCGTCGATCTCAAGAGTGAATTTCGGGTATCCTGTCGTCTTTTAACACCGCCACCGCCGCCACTAGTTAAAGCTCTTTAGGATCTATCATGGGCTGCGGTTTTTATTAGGCGCCTTAAAAATATTATTCAACTTGCTCGCCGCCAACGCACCGCCATCATGGGCTGCTGCGAAAGCAGGTTGGATAAAGGCGGTCCGCGAAGCGTGTCGCTGATGCCCCAGCGTCGACCGCGATCGGCGTGGTTCCACTTGCACGGCTTCGCGGCCGTCCACTCCATCGCCTGCAGTTTCGCCTCCTCAGGTGCTCCCACGTGCTGCTACGTGCTCCCACGTGCTGCTACGTGCTGCTACGTGCTGCCACGTGCTGCTACGTGCTGCCACGTTCTGCCACGTGCTGCCACGTTCTGCCACGTGTTGCCACGTGCTGCCACGTGCTGCCGCGTCCACCGCATTCATTGTTCTGTATTTCTCGCCTGCCTCTCTTCCCCACCCGCCAGTGACAGGAAGCCGATTCACAACAACAGACGAGACCTGGTCAACGTTACCACTCCGCCGATTCACCTACCGCGAGCTGCAGCAGGCCACGCAGTGGTTCGGGCCGAGCCAGATCCTGGGCAAAGGCAGCTTCGGCACGGTGTACCGAGGCTCGGTGGAGGACTGGCTCGGCGAGGAAGACGACGGGAAGGTTCCAGGGGAGGAGAGCGGAGGAGGAGGAGGAGCGAAAGTGCAGAGGAATGGGGAAGGAAGAGCAGGGACAGGAGGAAGAGGAGGTGGAGGTGGAAGGGCGGGTGGCATTGCTTCAGGTGGTTCAAACAGCATTCCACGTCAGCGTGACGTGGCAGTGAAGGTGCTACACAGCGGCAGTTTCAAGGCTGTAGACGAATGCATGTCTGAGATCATAATGCTGGGGAGTCTGAACCACCCTAACCTGGTACGGCTGCTGGGGTACTGCGTGGATCTGAATCGGCCCCGGGGGGGTGCTGCTGCGTTGCTGGTGTATGAGCTTATAGAGAGGGGGAATCTGCACACGTGGCTGTATCCACGTCAGCAGGAGGAGCAGGAAGGGGAGGAGGAGGAGCGGAGAAAGCGGAGGTGGGGGGGTATGAATGCTACAGCTGCTACAGATGTTCCTGCTGCTGCAGATTGCGATGAAGCTGCGGCAGAGGCTAGGGGTGGGTCTGGTGCTGCTGCCAGTGCCGTTGATTCCGCCGCGCCCGTGCTGACGTGGCAGCAGCGCGTGCGCATAGCTGTGGACGTGGCAAGAGGGTTGGAGTACCTTCACGGGCAGAACGTGATTCACAGGGACTTCAAGACGTGCAATATTCTGCTGGATGAGGTAATAACGCGGACAGAGTGTATTTACACGGGCAGAACATGATTCACAGGGACTTCAAGTCGTGCAACATATGAGGTTATAACGCATACTGTCTCATCCCCCTCTCACCCCCTCTCACCCCCTCTCACCCCCTCTCACCCCCCTCCAACCACATGAATGCAAAGCTGACGGATTTCGGAATGGCCACAGCAGGGCCGGAGGCAGGCAAGTCGCAGTGCCTGATGCTCCAGCAAGGGTTCTGTGCGGTGGAGATGGATAAAATCCCCTCTCACAGTCCCTCGCACCCCCCCCCCCTCCCCCACAACAGCAAATGAACGAGAAGCTGACGGATTTCGGGATGTCCACAGCAGGACCGGAGGCTGGCAAGTCGCAGTGCCTGATGCTACAGCCGGGGTTCTGTGCGGTGGAGATGGATAAGCATGGATCGTGGGGTGGTGGATGGCCACAGCAGGGCAGAAGGCGGGCAAGTCGCAGTGCCTGATGCTTCGAGGCCTCTCACCCACTCTCACCCCTCTCAACCCCTCTCCATCCCCCACAACACAGCACATGAATGCAAAGCTCACAGATTTCGGCATGGCCACAGCAGGGCCGGAGGCGGGCAAGTCGCATGTCTCGACTCGCATCATGGGCACGCTGGGATACCTGGACCCTGCATACATCGACACGGGTGAGATGCGGTTCAGTGCAATGCAGTGCGGTTCAGTGCGGTTCCGTGGGTTGTGTTGTGGGGCCCGACCCGAGGCGGGCAAGTCGCATGTGTCGACTCGCATCATGGGCACGCTGGGTTACCTGGACCCTTGGTACATTGACACAGGTGAGAAGGGGTTCAGTGCGGTTCACTGTGCTTCAGTGTGGCCCGGTGCGGTGCAGTGCGGTGGAGATGGATGAACATGGATTGTGGGGTAGTGAATGGCCACGGCAGGTCCGGAGGTGGGTAAGTCGCATGTCTCTACTCGCATCATGGGCACGCTGGGATACCTGGACCCTTCGTACATCGACACAGGTGAGGAGGGATTCAGTGCAGTTCAGTGCGGTGGAGATGGATAAACATGAGTCATGGGGTAGTGAATGGCCACAGGCTGCAGCAGTGAGCAAGTCGCATGTGTCTACTCGCATCATGGGGACGCTGGCTGGGCTACTTGGACCCTGCATCTACCGACACAGGTGCGGAGGGGTTCAGTGCGGTAGACATGGATAAGCATGGATTTTGGGGTAGTGAATGGCCACTGTAGGGCTGAAGGGGGGCAAGTCGCATGTCTCGACTCGCATCATGGGGATGATGGGGTACTTGGACCCTTCATACAACGACACAGGTGGGGAGGGGTTCAGAGTGGTGGAGATGGATGAACATGTCTTCTTCTTCCCCCTTTCTGTCTCAACCTCTCCTCCCTAATTCCTATTCCCACCTCCCTCCAGACCATCTCACAGCGCGCAGTGATGTCTACTCGCTGGGCAGCAGCTTCCCCCTCCTCCCTTACTGTCTCATGTCTCTCTTTCCCTCTCCTCCCTCATTCCTACACCACCCCCCCCCCTCCGCCCAGGCCATCTCACGGCGCGCAGTGACGTCTACTCGCTGGGGGTGGTGCTGCTGGAGCTGGCAATATGCAGATCACCCGGTGCTGCTGCTGACACCACCCACCGCACTGAAGAGCACTGAACCACATTCTTGTGTGCCATGCAATGCCCCAACCATCTTCCCCTTCAGGCCATCTCACGGCGCGCAGTGATGTCTACTCGCTGGGGGTGGTGCTGCTGGAGCTGGCAATAGGCAGATCACCCGGTGCTGTGCTGCTGACAAGACCCGAGACCCCTTCTCTCCCAACCCCCACCCCACACCCCACCCGACACCCCCTTCCGCCTCCTCCCTTCCCCCCTCTAGGCCATCTCACGGCGCGCAGTGACGTCTACTCGCTGGGGGTGGTGCTGCTGGAGCTGGCAATAGGCAGATCACCCGGTGCTGTGCTGCTGACAAGACCCGAGACCCCTTCTCTCCCAACCCCCACCCCACACCCCACCCGACACCCCCTTCCGCCTCCTCCCTTCCCCCCTCTAGGCCATCTCACGGCGCGCAGTGACGTCTACTCGCTGGGGGTGGTGCTGCTGGAGCTGGCAACGGGCCGGTCGCCCGGTGCTGCTGAGAAAACCCACCGTCTCCTGCCCTGGGCTCTCACACATCTGGAACGATGTGAACAGTTTGTACAGCAGCAGGAGGAGGAGCGTGAGAAGGGGCGTGAGCAGCAGCATTATTGGCAGCAGCAGCAGCAGCAGCAGGAGCACCAGTGGGAGCAGCAGGAGCAGGAAGATGTGCATGCATCTGTCCCCTGTAACTTGTGCTTCGTTATGGATAAGAGGCTGGGCGGAGTGTACAGTAGAGAAGGCGCGACGAAGCTGCTCATGCTTGCAAAACAATGCGTGAACGAGGACCCATTGCAGCGGCCTGAAATGGGGCTGATTATAAGGAGTCTAGAGGAGGTTCTTTGCTTGGAGCAGCAGCAGCACCGAGGGAAATTTTGAGTCGACTAAAAAACGAATAAGGATCCATTCCAGCGTCTTGAAGTGGGGCTTACTGTATAGAGTCTGGAGGATGTCCTTGGTTTAGAGAGTTTGGGGCAGCAGCACCACCTCCGGCAGCACCAACTCTGCCACCTTCACCAGCAGCAGCAGCAACAGCAGCAGTAGCAGCAGCAGCACCACCACCACCACCACCACAACCACCACCGTAACCGTCACCTGCAGTAGCGCAACCACCACCAGCTGCAGCAGCAGCAGGCTGGGCTGGTTTGTGCGTCACGAGACAGCTGTGCCCTGCTCAACGTGCAACTTGTGCAATGTACGAGGTGGGGTGCATTGGAAATAAAATAGCATCTCGGGTTTTGTCAAATAAGGCCAGATGGACTGGCACTTGTAGTGATATCATATTTCTGATCGGATGACTCATCCACCATGTAAACCAGCAAAAGAGACCACATTACATAGTATGTAATATAGTCAGCTCTTTGGAAACTCTCAGACTTTGGGTGTGCCTCAACATGTTCCACCAAGATAAATAATGTTTTTATCAAATGCTGGATGGTACGCTAGTTTTTTTTGAAAGACGTACCGGTACATTGAAAGTTGGGGTACAACTGTGTGCATTTGAAAGCAATTCGGTACATCATACAGTTAGTAGGCGAGCGCCCTCCGAAATTGTTGGATATTGGATAGAGTTTTCGTCAGGTGGGTCGCTATTAGAGGCATAGAACTGCCAGAACAACAATGTCCAGCAGCTTTGGGGAGTTGTGATGGCGGCAGGGCCTGCTGATCTGGAATGACGCGGATGTGACATTTCCCGCTCCATTATCGTTATTGGGTCCGATGTGGTACTTTTTTGCATGGCAATCCCAGATTGGAGGCTAACGAGCAAAATTCGATTGGCTAACTTATAGCCTACAGCACCTTGCCACGTGTTCGAGAGTGTTCGTCCTGGCACGGGGCACGGAGGATCCCGTAACCTCAAGCTTCTCTCCTCGTTTTTATCATCCAATTGCGCGCGAGCGGCTGATCAAGTCCTCCCAGCATCCTCGAGACAAACGGCGGTAATCTCCCCTCGCCCGAATTCGTGATTTCCAAGAGCTGTCACGAGCGTCGCCTATGGCCTAACGACGTCCACGAATATTCACGAGAATCTGTTGGGCGACTGACCAGCTGCATCTTCGGCTCGGCGACGCTGTCATGTGAGGGCTTTGGCCAAACCGTCACGTTCGGTCCCGCCGAACGTCGGATACAGGCAAGGAGCACGGGATTCAGGCTTCGCTGGCTAATGTTTCTCAAATTCTGGATCATGATTGGCTTATGTTGGTTTGGCGAAGTTCCTTTTCGTTGGTTCAACGGCTGCTGGTTGTCAGGCTTCCTAGCAGTCGGTTCAGATAGGTCATTCGCTTTCTAACACGGTGATCTAGATCACCGCCCTGGAACGCAGGAAACCGAACAAAAAACATGATGCATGAGCTGAAGGATTTGAGAGTGTGGTGTGGTTTCTGTGAGAGTGGGCGAGAGTGGTTCAGTGAGTCCAGTGGAGGTTGGCTTGTGGGCTGGCTGTTCCTGCATTGGAGGTGTGATTCTTCTCCCTGCCTGTCAACCTCACAGGCTATAGTCAGTGGTTTCCTGGCGGTGGAGTGAGGAAGGCTTTAGCTGGCTCAGTGGTTTCTACTCGCTGATAAAGCCATTCCGGAGTCCAAGCAAGCTAAAAAGCAGAGAATTAATAGCCATTGTTCTCAGCTAAGTCTATACGGTTGACATTTGGGAGAACAAGGCCAGAGTGGCTGTTGTTTACTAATTGATCCAGGCATTCTTGACTCGATCAGCTTGGTGCTGGTAGCTTCTGGCTGACCAACGGATATTCACACTAATCTCACATCATGGCGGCCCTTCAGGCTGGAAATGCAGTTCACTGCTGTCATTCACTGAAGAGCATTTCCGATCCAGCTTCAAAGCAGTCTGTCGTGAATGCTGCCTTCTTCCGATCAGCATCAGCTACATCCCTCCATTCCAACCTCAAGTCTCACGCAAAGGTCGCAAGGTATGTATGTCGCTCGTTTGGCGAAACACCGTTCAAGGTTTAAAACTTCTTTTATGTCGAGCATTAGGCTTAGGACTTCACGGATAGACTGATAAACGGTTCGTTTGATAATATGCAGAGGATCAACTTCGGTTCGGAGAGCCATTCGTGCTGAGGCAGCTTCGGACGCTCAACAAAACGGAGCAGCGACAGAAAGTATGTAACCGCATACCAGATTCTTCGCATTATTTTTCTTATAATAGCCTCAAAGTGTCAAAGCATTTTTTTCTTATAATAGCCTCAAAGTGTCAATGCACTCTTTTGTGGGAATCGCTACCTTATCCTCGCGTTTAGCGGAACGTTGACGCCATTGTCAGCATCTCTTTGACAGCCTTCTAATATCTTCGCTTCCTAATTATTCTCCAAACCTGTGTTGCGCAGAGGCCGCCGCGCTGATCCTTATCCGCCATGGAGAGTCTCTTTGGAACTCCAAGAACCTATTCACGGGCTGCGTGGACGTTCCTCTGTCAGAGAAGGGTGTTAATGAGGCCATTGAAGCTGGAAAGAGAATTTCGGAAATTCCCGTGGATGTCATCTTCACCTCCGCGTTGATCCGTGCTCAAATGACCGCCATGCTGGCCATGACGCAGCATCGCCGTAACAAGGTGAGAACGGCTTCAAAGTCACGATGAAACGAGAAGAAATAAATGTTTCTTCCTACGTATGGTTAGTGCTAACCTTGCTCAAATGAACTGTGGTTTTGACTTGAAAGTACAGTAAATAAATGTTTATTTCAGAACAAATCTCTCACCCCCTGCTCTGCGTACTGGAGTGTAATGGTAACGAATTCAAGGATCCACGACCACAGTTCAGCCCTGACAAGCTCTCCGCGATGTTTTCCGTTCTCCACCCGCCTCGCTTTTCCTGTCTCTGTGCCAATGCGTGTCTATCCAGGTTCCGGTCATCCTGCACGAGGAGAGCCAGAGAGCCAAGGATTGGAGCCGAATTTTCAGCGAGAACACGGACGAGGAGATCATTCCCGTCATCACTGCGTGGGAGCTGAACGAACGCATGTGAGTCTCGTGGTTCTTGGTTCTTCGATTCTATCACACTGATGTGAGGTGCTGAAGCATTCTCCTCTGGTTTACCCTCCTACTGGTTCGAGTCCCCAATCGCACGTTTGGCTGAAGCACGTTGACTTACGCAAATCCGTGAATATGCTCCCACACCCACTCTCTCGCCAGTCCTGCAAGTATTTATCCTTGTATTGCTGGATGCTAGAGTCGATTTCCTGAGAAACTTGTATCCCACCTTCACACACCCAAAACATTCTAGCCAACCTTGGCATTCCAACGTTTGAGTGCAGCAAGCTCCAGGGACTGAACCAGGAGTCACCAGTCAAACAAGTCAATCTTTTCCTTATGAGTCAGGAGTCCGGGGACTGAACGTAGGCGTCCCTTGTGCCTTGCCCTTGCCCTCCCCATCCTACCTTTTCCAAACCTGGTGTGCAGGTACGGCGATCTCCAGGGACTGAACAAGAAGGAAACGGCCGACAAGTACGGCATGGAGCAGGTCGTCCTCTGGCGCCGGTCCTACGACGTCCCGCCTCCCAACGGCGAGTCCCTCGCCATGTGTGCTGAGCGCGCCGTAGCTTATTTCAAGGATCACGTGGAGCCGAGACTCACAGCGGGCGAGAATGTGATGATCGCAGCGCATGGCAACTCCCTTCGCGCCATCATCATGTACCTTGACAGCCTCACCTCGCAGGAGGTATGTCGTTTATGTCTGAAATGTGAAATGTAACTTTATCCTCGTGGCAACGCGCTTCACGCCATCATCATGTGCCTCGGCAGAAGGTATGCCAGTTGTGTGATTGCGAGTTGTAACCTTACAGAACTGTTTAACGGTCCCTGTTCTGGCATTTCCGGTGATTTCATACGTAACGTATCCGTTGTAAAACCGTTGTGTTTGATCTGCAGTCTGCCAGGGATGCTGTGGGATGGGAGATAGAGTTGATTAAGGCTGGGATGTTGTTGCTAGATTCTCTGTTCTGTACAGCAGCTTCGCCTCTGTCTTTCGGAACTCTTCAAGCAGTGTTTAATCCCCCTGCTTTTCCCTGCGACTATGTGTTGACACAAAACGCTGCAAGTGATTGAGCTGGAGCTCTCCACGGGCGTCCCCATGCTCCACATTTTCCAAGAAAACATCTTTCTGTCAGAGTCCATATGCATCTCTCTGATACCTCTGATTCACTCGGCTCTTGCCTTTTGACATGAAACGCTGCAGGTGATAGAGCTGGAGCTCTCTACGGGTGTACCTATGCTCTACATCTTCCAGGGTAGCAAGTTCCTCCGCAGGGGCTCTCCCCTCCGCTCAAATGATATCGGTGTCTTTGCACTCACGGAGGTGAGACCCTTAGTTGTACACAGTTGATTTCTTAGTCGACTCAAAGGCCAACGCAGGGACTCTCCCCTCTTTCGAAATGATATTGGTGTCTTTGCGCTCACAGAGGTGAGTGACTTCGTCTTTCAGATGTTTCAGAAGTACAGGGAGAGGGATTGTTATTTTTTTTTTACCTTTTCTTTCTTTCGTTCATTTCTCCAAGGGCGCCTTAGCACGCGCGGAAACGGCCTGCCTTTTATGGCTTCTCATGCCCTTGGCCCTTTACCCACTACTATTTTCCTCCTACCTGCTTGCCATGCTTTTCCCCCCACCCATCCCTTCCGACGGCACCGCACATCCGGAAGTTGTTTCTGCCATTCTTCCCTGTATCAACAGTAGTGTTTCCAGTGCCTCAACATATCCTCATTCTAGTTTTGCAATACTTCTTTTGTTTGCCCTTCTTGCGTCATTCCCAGGACCTGGCGCAATATAGAACCATGCTGGACACCATTTCTGAAGGCCGGGGCTGAGAGCCTGACAGCGATTTGGGATTACCATATATTAGCTTCGTACAGATGGGGTGGGGCATTGTGCAAGTATAGCTTGCACTAGCTAGTACTCTACTTGGTGAGGCTGTGCAAGCAGTCATTCCTCGCTGTATACCTCTGTTTAGATTGGCATTGGGTAGCAATGATGTTACATGTTGTTGCACGTGCAATGGGTAGAAGTATGGAATGTGTACTCCCATCCCAACCCAACCTTCTCATTTGCGTAACCTAATCCACTGCCAGCCATCATGCATGCGGCTCGGTGAAACGCTACAGTTCACACAGAGGTCCTTATTTTTTCAAAGCCCTTCAGCCTTCAGGGCAAATGTTCAATATATTCTTATACATACTGGTGTTAGTACACAGATCACCTCTGAGTCCATGGGAATGCAACCTTCCAGTGCAGTGCATGCACCCCCATCTTCAACATACGGGGCATGCAACAGGTGCAAAGCATTCTGCAAACGCAGGACATTTGACACTCCCGTGGTGTTTTGGGCCCAGTACCCTGAGATTGGGACATTTTCCCATTGAAAAACAAAGTATCCTGGTAAACTAGGGTATACGGTAACTATAACCTGGGTACACTACTACACAAGCTATGATTGAGCTTCTGGCATAACAACATGGACGACTCCTAATGCTATGGTACTTCCTATTTGACTCGCACCACCACTCTAGGAAGCTATTTTACAAGAGCTACCAAATCGTACTTGGAACACATACACACCACACCACATCGCACGTGGAGCACACACCAGTACACCACATTGCACCTCCTGCGATGCCCAACAACTGGGGCATCTGGGCTTCCAGCTGGTCACCGTGATTCCCTGCTCCAGCGCAATGCAGAAAGCCATGATTCTAAGGCCATTCTCAGCCACAAGCCGATAATATTTGTAGACCCTCAATTCCGGAGGCCCCTGCCCTGCTCCTTGGCAAACTCATGAGGTGCAGTCCAACCAACCAGTAGTCCCATACAGTAGCTCTGACCACCCGAGCCACAGATGCACGATCCGACTCCTTCGCACACTCTTCTGTGCAGACGGTCATGGCTATGTTGGATCGACCGAGTGGAGATTATCCTGGGTGCCCTGAAAGTGTGGGTTTACGAGACCAACCTGGGTTGACCAACCGGCTTAAACCACTTAGAAACACATGCACGGTCGGACTCTTTTGCGCGGCCTTCTGTGCATACAGTTACCGTATAATGGTCTGACAAAGTGGCTCTTGTCCTGGGTGCCCTCTGTTGGGATGAGATCACCTCGCCACCCTCAAAGCGCGGGCTCATGAGACCAACCGTGGCTGACTTGTGTGTGGAAGCTGGGACCCCATGTTACCTGGCAGTTGGAGAAAGAGGAGGAAAAGGGAGGAGAAACGGGAGGGGATGGGGATGATCAGGAACTGACACTACCCGTTACCGTAATAGACAGGGAAAGGTAATAAGCATAATTCATAACTGTATAGGTGGGTGTGGCTACAGGGGGAGTAATACGGTAGTCATGATCGTTGAAAGGTTGTGATATGCAACTCACTTGAGAGAAGATGCAGCCATCTCCACATGGGTGGCTTAGAATGGCCTCGTGAGTCGATGCGATGTGTGTTTTCCACGACATTTGTTGCACCATTTGGAGTATCCTTATTGTCGCATCTTGAACTTGAAGCTGTAGACGTCTGATTATGGGATGATTTAGAGGTTGATGCGTCAGTCCTTGCCGAGTGAACCAGGGACGCAGGCTCGGAAACAAAACCGCGAACATCTGCAGGCTGGGAACCGGACCCACCGAAACTTCCAGAAAGATCCCGACGTGCGCTGACGGATTTCGTCCTGCTTGACGAAGGTCTGGTTACTGGTTCGGATCGAGCGCTGGAAGACGATCGAGTGTCCTCAAGCGTGCGGTTGTGCGAAGAGCTTCTGCGTCTCGCGGACGAGTACGGATTGACTGGCGACAAAATCCAACGGGCGACCGCCATCGAACGGTCGAAATGCCTAGTCTTGCTTGGCGTCTCCGGTCGTAGCGACCCGGGCTGCGACGTCGCCTCTTTCTCATTCCGTCGCTGAGAATCGTCGCGACGCTTGCAGTTACAGTCACTCCCCTCTTGCTGCTCCTCCGTAGTTTGCCGCTCTTTATCTGCTCCGCATAGATCAACTTTCCGTTCGGAGACTTTCGCTGCCACCGTCAATTCTGTCGCAGCAACGCCCCTGCAAACAGAGTCAGCAGAATTACCTTGGTTCCCGCCTTCGTTAGTGTCACATGGGGCAGCAGCACTTGCGCGCCCGTTATTGTCACAAAAACCATCGCTTGCTAGGCACACGACGAGAGGAGATTTCCCAGCTTCTGTAACCGTAGGATCAACTTCAACGTCGTCGTTTGACGCTTCGAATGCGAGAGACCGAACGAGGCTGTCAAGAAACGGAGATTCGACCGGACACGTGGCAGTCGCGCTGCGTTGCCCGAATAGCCGCGCACTTGCTGGAGGATTTAAAGGCTGACTCTGCGTTTTTCGGTGCTGTACCTCCCGCTGCTGCTCCGCCAGAGCATCCGCCGGAACCATGCGCGCGCAGCCGCAGGGACACATTTCCGCCTTCCTCTTCCCCTTTTTTCCGCGCCCGCCTTTCTTCCTCCGCCTTCCCCGGCTGCCGCTTCCGCCGTCCGCTCCCTTGCGGACGCCGTCGTCACCAGCGCCCGCGACGGCCTTGCACCTTCGAATACCGCGGCTTTCGCTGGTGGCGCCATCGTCGCCGGATTCTGCGCATCGTGCGCTTTGTGCAGTCGAAATTGGGCTCAAACTTCGAGTTGAATTCGCGGCGCTTTCGCTGCCGCCGCTGCTTCTTCCGCGCGAGGCTCCAAACGGGTTTGAATCTGCAACGAGACGCTCTAGTTGTAGCACAAGCTCCTTAGCGCGTACAGCCCCCGTTTCCGCGCGTGTCGGCCGTTGTTCCGCCTGCTGCGGAAGCTGCAAAGATGCGGGAGGCGGCCGCGGCGAGGCGTCAATCAACTGGACGGCGCAGCGCCGTGGGCGCGAGATTTGATCCGCCATGGAACCACTAGCAGTGCGCCAAATCTTTTCGGGATGAACCGGCGACCGAGGAGGATTTGGAACCGGCGTGAGAGCCGCAAGCCGTCGGGATTTGCGCAGGCGTCTCGTAGTCTGAAGGTTTCGAACCCTAAGCTCGGAAAGAGTGCAAAGCGTGGGAGCTGAGTTCAAACGCGTGGGAGCTGAGTTCAATCGCGTGGGAGAATGGTACTAATAGAGGTTTCTGCGATCAGGTGAATGGGAAGGTGCTTGGGATAAGGAGGATGAGCTGCTCGGGAATGTGCTGGCACATGTCGTCGTAGCAGCGAACTTCAGCAACTAATGTTCTTCAGCGAACGTCAGCAAAACTTCTTTTAACGAATGTCGTAGCAGCGATTGCGACGGGAAGGCTTTGAGAACCCCATTCTGCGAGCTCGTGAGATCTGCATATCAGGCAAAGTGACCGGCCGGCGGGCAGACGGCTGGCAGGGATGGATGTTTGCGGGGTGCTGCTGCTGCTGATGCTGCTGCTGCTAGCGTCGGCAGTTCCATCACAAGCGAGCGTGGCTGTGCGGGATTACCAAACAAGCGCAGGGATTACCATGCATGCTAATGGGATTACCATGCATGCTAATGGGATTACCCCTAAGAGGCTGCTAAAACGAATTTTGAAGGACCGGATTCGAAGCGAACGGTTGTGCTGAAACTAGACTTGGATGGCGAGCGGAGGCTGCGACGCGATGCGAAATATTAGTAGGGGTGCTCGTTCAAGGCGACCGGTGGCCTGGGGGTGCTTGTCTAAAACACGCGGGGCCACTCAGTGGGTGCTAGCTTGCTTGCATGCTTGCTTGCATGCTTGCATTCCGTGTTTCCACGCATCCTACTCAAAACCACGGCATGCTTGCCAAAAGTCGTCACGGTTTATTGTAGCTAAAAGAACGTCAACTCTCTCTGAAGTTCGTGATACGGTTATAAACCGGGAAGTGATGTGATGACTCATCTGACTCATCGGATGTATATATGGGCGGACTCATCACATCGCGTGGCCCGGCCAGAGCTGGGTTGCATGATCGCATCGCATCGCAAAGCACGCGCTCACAGCCCGGGGCTGCGGTGGCGAGGCGAGGTGACCTCATCGCTATCCTTCCAATGCAGCTGTGCTCTTGGGATGCTTCCGAGGTAAAGTCGCACAGAGGGAGGGATTGAATGGTTCCGTAGTCCCCGGCACGTCGAGTCGAGTCGACTGCTTGAGTGTGGCAGGGGATACAGTAGTAGCTAGACATTTCGCGCTGACCATAACAACTGTCGGTTATTTATGCGATGAATGTTTCCAGTAAAATTTGTGTCACTTGGCTGCACTGGATGGCAGGCGCAGGAGCGAACCTAGTTGGCCTGAATTGATGGTACGGCATGGCATGGCATCGCATAGCATAGCTGATAGCACCCCTAGGACCGTCGAGGCATCCGTACAGGAGATGCTTGCCTAGTTCCCTAAACCACGCACCCATGCACAAGGTATTGCTAGGCAGTAAGTGGAACGGAACGGTAAGGATGGAGAAAGTGTGAGAGGAAGAGGAAATTGTGGCTGGTGGCGATACGTACACGCGATGCTCCACCCCTGCGCACGAATTTTTCCCGTGCATATTAGAAATTTCGGACCCGTGTTTAGAGACTGGCCAGTTCCACCCAACTTACAAGCCCCCCGAGCAAGTTGCAATGTTTTATGAACCAATGGTAACGAAGATACCGAAGTCAAAATGTCGACGGATAAGATACAATTTTTTTAAGCCCTCTTTTGCTAGCTGCGAAGCCCATGCGAAATGAAAGAATGGCGAAAGTGAGGACTCGAACAAGAATCAGGTGGATAACCTTTTTCGGAGGGGGATGGGTCAGCGAGTGGGAGTGGGGAGGAATTGCGCTCACAAGAATTTGCGTGGAATAGGGGGATTTTGCGCCCAGTGTTT